GTGACGTATGGGTGCTAACAGTTTTTATGAAATAATCTGATGAGTTTAGGATCAGTTTACAGCAGGTTGTATTCACTAACCTGTTGAATTACATTGTTTTAAACAAGCCAAACCCATAGGGGGCAGTGCAGGGCAAACATAAACCTGTGTCAGCCAATCACAATCCTTCAAATTAAAATACAGTGTTAGAACATAAAGCTATTAAAACACAAGGTGATGTTGACTGGGAATCATGTTAAAGCCAGGATGTGGAGGCTGACCAGCTTTGTGTCTCTGTATTAGAACAGCTGACCTCCAATCGCTCTCTACTTTGAAACCCAAAGAATTGGAGCCAGAGTCAGAAACAGTGTAAAAATCAGCAGCTCTCCGTTAGCAGCCATCTTTCCACCACTATGTGACCATTACTACTGGCCAAGCAGTAACAATGGTCACATATGTGACGTCACGCCACATTATTTGTTGCATTATTTGTCGTGCACTTACTTCTATAGCTCAAGTTTCAACGTCCCCATTCAAAGTCGAAAAAGGAGAATTCCCAAAGTCTTGGTTGGAGGTTTCATTGTCAGTCGTTTTTAGTGCTATGAAATGTCGCTACATGTGAAATCGTGTAAAAATATTCTCGGTTCCCAGATATCTGGCTATGTGTGGACAGGTTCTGCCTCGGTGCTGTGCCGATGTGTTGCTCATGGTGGTCGTGCTTCCACAGGGGCTGATGGAGACGTTTGGCGCAGCGCTGCTGGCGGAGTCTGCTGGTGCGGTTCTGAGCTCCGCAACAAGCTGGGAGGATCTGGAGATCCAGGAAGAGTCTGAATCAGGGAACAGCGTCACGTCCAAGATCCGCCTTCCTGTTCAGGTCAGAACGACATCACAGGAGGTAGCTTCTCTGATTTGCTGCCTTTTCACGTGACGAACTCTGAGCCTTGTGTCCTGTCAGGCGTCCTGGTTTGTGCAGTCTCTGCTGTTCCAGCTGTGTGTGGAGGTGAACAGGGTCGGGGGTCATGCTCTTCCCCGGCCCACCCTGCAGGAGCTGCTTCAATCCTGTCTTGGTCAAGTTCTGCATCGCTACGACATCCTGGCAGAGCAGCAACGGGACGCGGTGAGGGACACAACGGCTCTGTCCCTCAGAGTTGATTTTCTGCTAAATGTTCAAGTCAAGTTTATTTCATCAACATGACAGTTTCTCTAGATCTTGTTGGGACACTAGTCCTTTAATTCTGGAGATGTTGTTCAGGTGACAGAAGGCCGACTTTGTAACTGTCTTCATGTGGCTCTGAATGTTCAGGTCAAAATTGGAAATTAGTACAAAAATAACTTATTAAATATAAAATTAACAAATGTGCCCCTATTAAAAGTATGGGTATTATTTTAAAAACGAGGTATAATTATTTTATGATTTGATCAAATATTTGACGTTCTTGTGCTGAAGCACATCATAAATGAAGTCAAGCTGTCAGACTGATCAATCAAACTCAGTGGGCGGGATTAGGGAGAGCCTGACATCTGATTGGCTGCTTCAAACAGCAAGCGAAGACAATTTAATCTGTGTTTGTTTCCACATTTTAAAAAATTAGCAACACATTCTAACAATTATTTAATACGTTTTTCATTAGTTGTAATTTGGGCCTCAAATTACAACAAAAATAGTGAATTAGTAAATAATTTGTGTCCTAAGAGACACGAGTTCTCTGAATTTCTCTCTTCTCCTGTTCATTAGGAGGGCGTCCTCCCCATCACTCAGAACCGAGCCTTGCAGTTGTTGTTCGACCTTCGTTACCTTAACTCCACACTGGGCAGCAGAGTGGAGGAGGGCAAGACGTCCAGGTCCCAGCAGGACCCGAGGTAGGAAACGTCTGGGCCTGGAGGGTCAGGGAGGCAGAGCGATGCTGTCTGCCCTGGAGCGGCGCTTTGGTTGGTCGTTGGCCAGCTAGCTGGCTACTAGCTCAAGACTGGATTCACTTCAAACATTTCAAACATGCAGAAACACAAAAAGCTTGAAAAAAATCAGAGTGGAACGTTTTCACGTTCAGTCCAATAAATCAAACTTATACCACACGTAACTGTTTTTATTTTATTGTTATCTTTTCATATTTAAACAGTGTGTTGTGTTTATTTTCCAGGTTTGACAAGATTTGTGATTGGCTGGAAAGCTTCATTGACCCCTTTGACCTGGATGTGTTTACGCCGCCGCTGAACGCCAACCTCAACCGTCTGTCCCAGAGGACCTCAGTATGTTGTTGCCACGCACTCAGTCATGAAGCCACATGGCGTCTGAGACGTGTGTGTCTGCAGCACTCATGAGAAGAGGCTGTTGTTCACATGTTCCAGTAGCTGCCATGTGTTTGCGTGTTCCAGGTGCTGCTCGGCCTCCTGACTGGTTCGGAGAAGCAGTTTGCCCCGCGGAGCAGCGCTGTCAACTCCCAGGAGCCTTACAACATCCTGCCACTGGCCAGCAGTCAGATCAGGTCAGACATGAGCATCAGTAAACAGGAAGTGGAATGATTTGTTCTCCATCAGATGCTCACCAATCACCGATGCAGATTTTCTTTTTCTTTAAAGGGTCAATATTATGTGAAATTGACCTTTTGAGCCTTACATCATGTCATAATATTTTAAACTGAACAAAAATATTGAGTCGTTCAGAGCTGATGTTCTCACCTGTCAGGTATTACGTGATCACTGCATGATAGACGGCGTCTGTCTGGTTCCTGTGTTATGTCTGATCAGCAGGTCCTGTCTGTTGCAGGTTCGGGTTGTTACCTCTCAGCATGTCAAACGCTCGCAAACCCACGTCCTCCTCCAGGGGATCGGACAAGTCTCAGAAGCTGGTAAGTTCTGGAGCCGCAGGGGTCGGGGTCCTGAAGCTGCTCTGGGTCGGACTGTGTTTCATTTACTGACAGCCACAGAGCGATGATTTATTTTTTGTTTGTGTGACCGCGTTTTCTGTCACACTCTCTCTCCTCCCAGAGATTCTGAGAATCTGAGGCCTTCAGGCAAGTTCACCAGAGATGTTTCTGTCTGGGTGTGTTTTGGTTGTGCTTTGATTTAGTTGGATCAGTGGCAGTGTGGGTGCTCTTCATCACTTCTTCGTGTTTTCATTCTGGCCTATGTTGGAAACAGCAAGATGGCTGAATGAGCCGATCCAGACTTTGTAGCGCTTTAAGTCAGGAATCGTCCATATCTGACTCATCACTCATTTTTCTTGGGTCAGTCAAAAACGTTTTGACCACCTGCTTTTTATGGCCACACCGAGTAAAGCCATGAAAACTGGACTCCACTTCCTAAACTAAGGCCTGGTCACAAATAGACGACAATCTGGGAAAATGAATGCAGTTTTATGTGCGTTAAGCTGTACACACAAATTAACCTTGTGGTGCCATATTTAATTCCTAAACAGAAAGTTATGGATGCTTTTGAAGCAATCTAATTGGCTGACACAGATTTTCGCTCAGAGTTATCCCCTATGACCTTGGTGTGTTTAAAAGGGAAACATAATGTACTTTTTTTAGCTTTACATTATGTTATAATCTTATTCCCTCATCACAAAGAAACATACCTGAAGTGTTGCTTTGATTATTTCATTTCATGTTTGAGAAATCCTTTAATCTCCATGACAACCATTCAGCTGTGCAAAATGTCTACATGGACTTAGCCCCGCCTTAGAGGCACAGCTCCTCCTCAGGGCTGCAGTTTCCAGGCTTGAGCATCCCTCCATTGCAACTCCCTCACTGAGCTCCTTCAGACTAGCCAGCAGCAATTAGCAAACACCTAGTGCTACTGCACATCTTCATATGAGCTACTTCTCAGTGAAGCATTGTTAAAGTGTTAATAGAGGAGCCATGATGTGATGACTTCCTGAAGGCTGAGAAAGAGCAGGAGTTTTTAAAGAGATGGCGGCCCAATTTCAATGTGTTAAATTAAAAAGTAGCCTTGAGGCTCTTCACCTATATTCCTGAAACCTATCTCGGTGTGAGCAATATTATTTTTTGTGATGAAGTATTTCTTTTTATAAAAACCCAGCTACATGTGCACAAGGCCTGAGTTCACGCTCAGTTTTAAACAGTCAGGACTTCCATCTTGATCATATATGAGTGGTCATAATGTTTTGGCTCATCCCTGGCTTCTTTTAACTGGTTCTGCTCTGTGAAGCAACAGAAGCATCATCTTGTTTGAATTCTTTGCTTGAAGGTTTTCCTCCCAACATGGAGGAACGGACTCACTGATCAGATCCAGTGTTAACATGGAGCCACTAACTGCCTGACGTGTTCTGCTGGTTTTATTGAATATTAACAACAAACAGACTTCAGCAGACGCTCTCCTCCAAGCATGACAGCCCCTCTGTCCTCCCTCTGCAGGCTCCTCAGTCCTCCGCAGCAGGAAGTGATGACGTTTTCCGGCCGGGCAGTCTCTTCAGGCAGCTGGCCGACCAGGACGAGGACTCAACGGCGCCCTCTCTGTTCAAGCTCAGCTGGCTGTCTGGCATGGCCAAGTAGCTGTGTTGTTGTTTTTTTGGTTTGCCTCATAGATTTTGTAAAAACACTGTATAGTAAACAAAACGTTGTCTTCTGCCGTCTGTGCCCTGTGTGACTTTATTCACTTCACTCAACCAAAAACCTGCTTCTGATGTTCAAACTAGAGGTGCAGCGATCAGATCGGCCCTGATTTCCTCCATTTTGGGAGGTCAGTGATCGGCTGATGCTTACATGTGAAGCCGATCTATTCCACCGATTTTATCTACCTGATTTTTAGACCAACAAAGGTCTAAAAATCACCCTCTGTCTTCTGTTGTTCTGCCCTGAGAGAGTCTGACTGACTGACTGACTGACCCGCCCACCAGGTCATGTCTGCCAACTCAGTGAATATCTTACTATATTTAGCAACAATCAAAAAAATCAGTATTGCCCTAAATCGGAATCATCAGAACAGGCTTTTGAAGGATCTGTAATTGGTGCACTCCTAGTTCAAACAGCTGTCTGGAATATGAGGAAAGAAAGTTCATCCTCTTTCAGTTCAGAATGCTGTTTATTGAATTCGAACGTTATTTAAATCTGACCCCAAGAGCAGGTTAGAGAAAGCCAAACTGGGAAAGCTGTGAAAACCGAGCACAGAGTTGCAGCAGGTCAGCGCGGAAAGCTGAGTGAAACAACCAGGAACCTGGGAAAAACCTCAGCAGAAGGCGTGAGAACAGAGCGTCTTTGATTCCAGTCATTACAGAGAGAAAAACCTCAAACGCTGTTAGACGTTCCTATAAAACACTTTCAGACAGCTCTTCTACCTCTGCAGTTTATTACATTTACAGCATGCTCCAGGTTGATATACTGTACAAGCTTGTAATTAACGGGACAGACAGTTTTCATGTAAATCCACTAACATGCTGTTCTACATATTGGCTACACAGTCCAGTGATGTGGACACTTGTGTCTACAGAATAAATGTTATGAACATATAGCAGCAGCAATGTGTCAATAGAGTTGATGATTTCTGTGATTTACTAAATTCACTAACCGTCGTGAACTGATTCCATCACTTCATGTCAAAATCACAGTCAATAACAATAATAACTAATCTACAGCATGAAACAGTGAGCAGAGTTTTATATCTATGACTTGAAATGTCTTTTTCTGATTCAAAAGCAATTATTTCATCCCGACAAACATTTTGTCACATTTGTGACTAAATGTTTCTGATATCCAAGAGAGTCCCTTTAATATAAAATGAAACTTGCATTCACAAGATCAGACATGTGTCTACCGTTTCTACTTCTTCCTGTCTATTTTGCTCATCACCGCCTTGACATCGACTGGAGCGGCGGCCGCGGCGGCCTTGGCCTTCTCCTCCTCCTCCTGCTGCCACAGGACGATGGGATGGATCCCGGCGCTCCGGTTCCGAGCGTTCTCCTCCAGCTGCGCCGGACTGCGGCGGGAATGCAAACACAAGTGAGACTTAAGCGTCTGCAAACTTTTTCTTTTGTCCTCACATCAGTCCGGCTGAACAAAGCCGCAGAAATGAGCTGATCCTTTGAAAATCTTTTTGATATTTGTGAGAAATGTCTATGTTTTCTTTTTATTTTTTGGTTTTAGAAAAGAACAAAAGATTTAACTAAAAATTGTTTTTTTCCTCACATGAGATGCACATATTTTCCAACCTAACAATAGATAGATTTAAATTAAAAGGACTGGTCCTTTTAGTGACATTTGTGGAAATTAAATGTAATCATTCCAGGAAAAAATTTAAAATAGTTAAGACCTGCTTTTGTTATAACTATTTCTAAATATGGAGCAGTTTCCTCATCCTTTGGAGTCAGAGTTTCTAACAGATGTGGCTCCAGAACCGCAGATTACAGACCCCTGGATTAAAAGACTAAAGGTTAGTGGAGACTCAGGTAATATATTGTTTTAAGGCGTCTTGATAACAGTTCTCCAGAAAACTGGAAGGTCTCTCTTTTTGAACTTTTTTTTTTTTTTATTCAATGCTTTTAAAAAAATACAGACAGACACTCTGTCTGTCACAAAGACACAGATTAGTCCTGATAAGCAGCAATGATCCCACAGTTATGCATGTTAGAGTCATGATTTCTTGTTAACCCAAATGCAGCAAGAGAGGGACTCTGAGTAGTCAGTTATTATTGAAGTTTTAATAACAGGAAATAGCAGAAGGAACCAACAAGGAGTGACTGAGAAAGGGTTGTGTAAATACTAGGAAGCCTGATTACTGAACAAAAAACAAAAGATTGATTGGCTAATTGATTATAGGTTTGAGGGGAGAGAAAAAGCCCATGTGGGGCTCGGAAAGGAGCATAATTAAGACATAATAACTAGGCAAAAGAAATAAACATAACCTGAATCACTAAGAAGGACTGAGCAAAGTCCGAAACAAGGCTGAGCTAATCAAAGAAAGAAACTAACGAACACAGAGTACCAAACACAGCCAAAACAACTCAAACAGGCCGGGATCGTGACATTTGACCTTACTGAAATCACACACACCTGAAGTTATGGGCTTCAGGGCTCAGCGCCTTCTTCTGGATCTCCTTGTACGTTGGTGACTTGAGGTAACGGAAGAATGTGTCCTGCACAAAAAAATAATTAAATAAATAATAAACATACTTTTACATCAAGCACAATCCGAACGTCAATGCCCCTGTTTTGAAGTTTCGGATTTAACGCAGCTGATGCCGTATTTTGCTGTTTTTTCCATTGATGCAATCTTAATATCATTGTCTTAACGTCATTGTATTGGTCTGACTGGAATTGCCCAAGTGAAGAATATTCGTCAGCATCACTCAAAGATCTTAAAACGCCTGACCTTTTTCATGAGCATGAAGACGTGTGTCTGCGCCGCCTCCAGGACGTAGCGGTGCGGATGCTCCAGGCCCTTCACCGTCAGGCCCATCGTCCTGCCGTCAATGTTGATCCAACGGGGGGCGCCCGGTGCCAGGAAGGTCCTGTTAGCATGAACACACAATTCATCAGATTCATCGCACAGGGCTACAACACATGTAAAAAGGAAGTACTATGTGTTTCCCAGGCACATAGTACCATTTATGGAACAATCAAATAGCCATGTTACCTTCAGTTCTGCAAAAATGCTGTATACTTCAAATATGACTCAAAAGAAATTTTACTTCAAACTGGACTCTGTCTCTTTAAGATCCCAATACTCTTTCTTTCCCTTCGTCTTCAGCTCATCATCACAGCAGTACTCCTCATTATGCAGTTAATCATTATGCAACTGTGTTGCATTGAGAAGCAGCTTGTGTAATGAGTTCAGTGTTTGCCCATTTCTGCTGGCTAGTCTGAAGGAACTGAGAGGGGGGTTTGTGGGGAAGACTGCTGTATGAGGAGGAAGCAGCAGCTCTGAGCTGCATGGATTTATCCGAGCAAGCATTGAGGTTCCTCTGAATGGATTTCTCAAACATGCATAAATAATCAAGACAAAAGAAAAAAAAGTGAATGAAATCAACTATGTGGACATAAGTGGTCTGTTTTTGAGCTCACTTGAAGATGGACTCGGCCTTGTCTGACATGGAGGAGGCCGTGCCCCACTTCAGTTCCTCAGCTGCTTCCCAGAAGGCCAGGTTCTCCCCTGGAGCACAGAACAAACAAACTTCTTATCAGATAGAGAATTTTATTAAGCATCACAATAGAATCAGATCAATGTAACACAGTTCCATCTCACACAGGAGACAAAAATGTGCCGCTGAGCACTCTGGGAAATAGTTCCCACTCCTGTCTTTTTATTCTTTCAGGGGTTTTAAGCGCTTTCCTAAAACCTCTAGTTTATTCAACTCTTAGAGATTTTACAAAATGAGTACAGTAAGTCTATCTTTTTTATAAACTCACATTTAGGTACAAAACCTAAAACGTATTAAATGAATTTGATTTAAAGAATAGAAAATTCAAGACACAACTTGAAATTGGCTCAAATGTTGTACAGTGCACTACGTGTTCCTTCAGCAAAGGGCTTCTAGTGAAAGATTGATCAATCACACAATCTGTTTTATTTCAATAATCAATTTGCCATGATCAATTGGATTAATGGTTGCAGCCCGGACACACATGCAGAGCTGTGTGTTTGGGCTGCAGCGTCATACCGCTGAACTCCTTCTTCAGGAAGATCTTGAAATCGTCTCGGCCTCTCAGGTCCGTCAGGAGCTCAAACAAGCTGAAGGACCAGCGCTCCACTCGCATTTTAGTGGGAACGTCCACTCTGGGAGCAAACGGTCAGCCTTGTGATTACAGCAAGCATCCTGTGAACTGTTCACCAGTCCTGATGTTTTGTTTTTTTTCTCACCTTCTCATGTTAAGAGTCCAGTACGCGTCGTGGTCCGTTTCCCATGGGTTGCTGGGTAGACAAGGAGCCAGGAAGGCATCGTGGTTTTTGTAGGAGGTGATGTATTTGACCAACCTGCAGGAACATCAGCACAAGTTTGGCCAACAGCAACTCAACCTATTGCTGCAAAAATTCAGAAACACCTGCAAATATCTGCTGTTTTAAATCAACGGGAACAAAAAAAAAACAACAATTGATGCTAGAAATAATTATTTTAGTAATTGATCATCCTGACGATTAATCTATTAATCTCTCAATTATTCTGATGATTAGTCAGTTAATTGGATGTGTTTCTGTAATACTCTCTTTTCACCTGTCATGTTTCTAATAAAACAGAACCAGAAGGACTTACGCTCCGAGGGAAACGCTGGATTTGACCTTGGATCTCATGATGGCTTGCTGGTAGAAAATGTTCTAAAAATTATGAACACAAAATGTTATTTATTAAATAAAATCTCAGTGACTTCAGTGATTTTCTGTGCCTAGTTATTAAAATATGTTAAATGCTTTAACTTACGACCCGTCTGTATTGGTCAAAGGAGATTTTCTGGAAGGAAGGGAGATAAAGACTTTTATCAAACATTTTGAAACAGAATGCAAAAGTATTGAAATCCCCTCAGATTTCCATCTCTGTCATGTTGCAGCATCTAACTTCATTTAGTGTGCTTTATTAGAGTCACTGCCACAAACCAACACAAAATGCTGCAGAGTTACAACACAAATAAAAATGAAACATGGCTTTGAAAATATTTGATAGATTGTCGTATCAATCCGCTGATCCTAAATAAACTATTCTAGAAACAGAATAGATCAAATATTTGTTTGTGGGTTTGTAAACCCAGAGCAGGTCTGATCCGTTCCTCCGGTGGAACATTACACCTTTCAGATTTTCATTAGTAATACAAACATTTCATGGTTATTCTCCACTTTATGTGGGTCTGTCATGTAATTATGTTAATATGTTAAAGGTTCTGGGTAATATGGAGGAATGCGAGACACAAGCCGGGTTTCATTGACAGTAAAGCACAAACAGCTCTAAACCTAAACAGCACATAATGCTCAGAGCAGCAGTGCTGGATGATGAGATCCACACTATGGAACTACACTAGTTTCTACCTAATACTTGGTCTTAAAGTAGTTTACAACTTTAATGTCTTCAGGAGTTCAATGGAGCACAGCATCACATCATATGCGTCCCAAAGTCTAAGACTGAAGTTGGTTTCAAATACAACATGACATTTGTCAAAAGTCTAAATTTAAAATTGTCTTTCATTTTCAACATTAGTTTTCAGTGTTTTTGCCACTGATCTTAATCTGATGATCTGAAATTGTGCTGGGATTGTCGGCAGAAACAGAACAGCTCTGGATGCACTTTGAGACCTTTGGAGCGCACAGTGTGAACACAGTCAAACTTTACGCCTTCATCTCTTCATATTCAGATGATCTGTTTGAAAGGAGAACAAACAAATCAGAAAGAAGAAGAGATTCGTCAAAATGTTTCATCACAGTCAGTTTTGTACGTGGTATTTCTGCCTCACAAACACAAAGTCTCAGATTGAGATGTGTGTGTGCGTGTGTGTGTACTGACCTGTTACCTCTTCTACGTTGGGATTAATAAGTCGTTCTGGGCCAACATCCAAAGCACTGTGGGTCCGGCGCTGGACAAGCAAAACATACAGAGAATAGAATTATTTAGTCTAGGATTATATTGACCGATGAGCCATGACATGCTGACCTCTGACAGTTAACATAAAAACCACCAAGCAGTGGGTGATCTGCACTTTAGAGGTGTAAGAGCTGAAGTGGTGAGTGCTCTGGATTTTCAAGCTGACTCATGCTGACCACTAATGGCGTCCAACCACCAGCTTGTAAAGTGGACTCAGGATGCATTATGGGAGGACGTCCCTCCATCAGACCAGGGAGTGTTCTTAATTTAATGGAGTTTTAGATATTTGCTTCAGCACTCAGTTGAAGGGATTTTCTGGGGGTGGAATCCATTTACCAAACTAGTTCAAAATCCTGCATTTTAAGTCAAAACTCAACTGGACTCTTCTGCACTGAGGAGAAACTCTTTCCAACACATTTCAGTTTTTTTAAACCTTTATTATTTTTGTAAAGAGACAAAAGTATGAAAATGTTCAATAACTTTTCGGTTATTGATTGATGGTGTGGTATGTGCTGTATGGTATGGTATAGTATAGTATAGTATGCATGGTAAGGTGTGATTAATACAAGTTAATTAAAAATCTAACTTACTTCAGATAACCTTTGTGATCTGATCAACATGTCATGTGAGTGTTTGTCCTGTTATTGTTGTAAATTCTTTATTTCAGTTCAATTTTACACTTCTGAAAACACATTTATGAGGATTCTTTGGGGACACAGCTATCAGTCTAGATCAATCAGTATTAGAAAATGGACTGGTCCTCGATGTCTCTCAGAAGCTGTTATGAAACCATTCTGTGTCATCAATAGGTGGGTTCATGTTTGGCCGTGTTTTGGGGCTGCAGCAGGACGGATTCACACAAGGCGCTGTGGCGCGTGAACCATCACCGAGTGGCCGTACAGTAATGACTGATGTTTTTTCCAAACATCTAGAGAGAATGAGACAAACTGACCGGAGGCCTGTTCACGATCCAAAAGGCCCTCTCCTGGCAGTCAAAGACCACTCGGTCTGCCTTGTTCCTGTCTCTACCAGCCCTGGAAAACAGAAGCAAAAGAAACATGGAAGAGCTTTAAAGGGAAAAAAAAACAGCAAACAAAGAGGAACATACATGTTGAACTTAATAACAGATGTTGTTAAAAACTTGAAAACGATGGAGATGCTCACATTCTGAAAGCAGGCGTTTACCACGCTTGTCCTTCACAGATATGTTCACACCTCAGCTTTCAGAAATGTTGGGACTCTTAAAGCATTAGTATGTACCTTTTATAAACAGCACTTTTTTCTTCTTTTTTTACATAATTGCAATATAAGATGAGACAGATAATCTATGATCTACAGTCATCTGCAGAAATGCACCAGTTATGGTCAAAAAGAGCCAATCAGAACCAATCTAAAGCCACACATAATTGTAAAGAGGAATGAAAAAATAACTTTGTTTGTGTATGATATGAAATCCTCCCTGATTACTTCTGCCAGGTGCTAATGAGTGACGTTGTTTGCTGAAAAATGCAAATGCACCAGTTATGGTCAAAAACAGCCAATCAGAACCAATCTAAAGCCACACATAATTGTAAAGAGGAATGAAAAAATAACTTTGTTTGTGTATGATATGAAATCCTCCCTGATTACTTCTGCAAGGTGCTGATGAGTGACGTTTGCTGAAAAATGCAAATGCACCGAAGCGTCGCTTATTTTTTAAAAGACAGTGACAAAATAAGTGCCTTTTCACTGAGCTTTCTCTCAAAACATTCTGTTTATCACAGAACCACAAGCAGATATTTCATCTTAATTATCATAAAGTATTCTTAGACCAAGTCTGTATAGTTTTTGTCATTCTATCACACCTCTTGAAATGGTTAGTTCAGTGCTTTACTGTATTCTTCACTGCTTTATAGAGCAGTTTGTGTTGTGGTAGCTTCAAAAAACATGTCAGCTCCAGCATACACAGGTCTGAAGGCCATGGCCATTAGAACTGGGTGGTGTGTCTGTGTGTGTGTGACTGTTTTCTAAAGGCATGTGTGAACCAGGTCAACCAGGTCCCTTACTTGTACTGCTCAGTGGCTTGCATTACAATAAAGTCCCACTTGTGGTTCAGCCACTCATGCAGGTGGTTGTAGTCAACCTGTTCAAAACACAAACAGGGTGACAGGATGGACCAGGTGAGCCTCATTACGCATCTATTAGAGAGAAAAAAACACCCTTTCTGTAAATCAAACAGATTTAACCTCCTGAAAACACAACTATCACAAACTGCCGTCATCTACTCAGTTTGAGACACAGAATCATTACATTAGGTTTGGGGGAACGGTGGTATTTTCCATTTAACTGAAACATTCCTTTACCTCACCACAACCAGTTCTAAATGGGAGTGTTTTCTGCCAGGAAACAGTGATCTTGACTAAATTAAAGCAGCTAAACATAAGGTCATGTTTTGGACAGCTCAAGTTAATGATGGAAACAAGCGCCAAGATGCTAATGGCTAACAGAGACATTTTACTTGTCACTCGCATGGTCCCTGTATCATGGCCCTTCTGGATGTGTTTGTTATCACAGTCACAGTGTGACCCACGCAGCACAGGTACCTGCTCATAGGGTTCCAGCATGCCTTTCTTACGGATGTTCCTCTTTGCCAGGTAAATGGCTGGAAAAGCAGTGAAAAACACATGTTATGTTGTTTAACCGTGATATACTAACTATTTAACTTTAATTGGCAAACGCAACGTTCAACTTAAAAAACAAGAATAGCATGACATGGAAACCAGTTCAAGGAGCTTAAACACAGGGGAGGACAAGCAACCTGCCGTCAAGGATGTGGGAACCACGGGAACTGAGGAGGGAAAGCGAATAATTAGCACAATGAACACAGAGGAAGCTCATTGTACTCACAAATGGATCTACAAATGAAAAAGCAAAGAAACCCGATACTAAACCAAGAAACATAGAGAACAGATCAACTAAACACAGAGAAATAAATGAACATGGCGAGACCTAAATGGCAATAATGCTTCCAGAAATCTCAGAAAAATACATTTGAAAATAAAAAAATGTAAAAACTCAAACATCACTTCATAACAAAAGACTGAAGACTGTTGTTTACTGCAGGGAAATTAAAAGCAGCTGATAACCTTTAAACACAGCCTCACTTTAAACCACCCTTAACTAATGATAACTGTTTAGTTTATACAGGCTCATCAGGGACACACAACATCAGTCATCACTATTCTGGGTAGCAACATTTTCTCATTGAAACATGTCACCTACCGTAATCAGAGTCCTCTGGAACCCACTGCTGTGTTGGCCAGAAGTACGGGGTCTGCAAAGGGGAACGCTGGTGTTAACGGCTTTGAATATACAATAAAGCGATTAGCTTCCTCATACCAAAGTGCATTGCTCTGGTGTTTTAAGGAGAGCTGTGGTAAATAAAAGCCATTTTAAAAATTATGATTTTATCATTTCTTAGCAGAAAAACAAGTGTTAATTATCTGAATCTTCCTGCCAATAAAAAAAAATAGATTAATTTAAAATAAATAAATACAGAATAGAACACTTTTATTGTTCCTTTGCAATGTTTCATGTCCCACTTTGCTGTCAACTGACACATTCCTGTGAAATCATTTATGCACAGGAATCATGTGAAATGAACAGGCAAGTATTTTGTTTCCTGTTAAACAAATGTTAAATATTGAACATGAATGATCAGAATGTATTGGATCAAAGTTCAACATTTTGAAGGAGGTTGAAGCTAAGTGCTAGTGTGAGGGTTATGAGGTGTGTGTGTGTGTGTGTGTGTGTGTGTGTGTGTGTGTGTGTGTGTGTGTGTGTGTGTGTGTGTGTGTGCGTGTGTGTGTGTGTGTGTGTGTGTGTGCGTGTGTGTGCGTGTGTGCGCGCGCGTGTGTGTGTGTGTGTGTGTGTGTGTGTGTGTGTGTGTGTGTGTGTGTGTGTGTGTGTGTGTCCTCCACTCTGGATCCTCCAGGTATCCAGTAGAGGGCGCACTGGAACCAGCAGCAACATAGACCTGAAGGGTGGCAGTCCACTGAGTGTCCACTGAGTGTCCACTGAGTGTCCACTGAGTGTCCACTGAGTGTCCACTGAGTGTGAGAGATGAACCTCATGGAAGTTTGAAGCTGCCTTCAAACTTCCTCCTTCAGGAGTTACTGGATCCACAGAACCAAAGGAACAGTGTGTTCTGTGCCACCACAGGCACGGAGGGGAACAATTTTTCCAAGGGCTTAGTTTAGTTGACACAATATAGTGTGAAAGTGACCCGCAGCAACTGAAGATGGAACAAATGTCGCAGTTTTGATCCTCAGTCTAGCCGAGTCTACTGAACTATCAGGACTGAAAATATCCTCAAAGTCCTACTCCTGTGTGAATACAGGTCCACTTAGAGTTCATATGAGAGCCCTTGTAATAACTACTGTGACATGTTTAAAATATCTCAATCTGCCTTGGTCTTGGCCTCTCCTAGAGTAGCATTGGCTTTGCCCTCTGTGAACAACCTCTTTGCTTTCCACTAAGGGAAACTTCCAAGTGCTTATAACCTTTCAACAAAACATCAATTTCTAAATGTGAACCATCCCTTTAAAACTCATCGAGTCCGGTGGAACAGACCTGGCTTGAAGGCATTCGTCATGAGAAGCAGCAGTGACTGTTCTGTACCTGGAAGCGGTAGACGCTGCTGTCGTTGCACATCACCAGCTTCCTGTGGTTCTGCAGGGGGTAGATGTAGCCATAGGCCACCAACATGGTGCCAAAGACCTGCGCTTCTGGAGAGTTCACAGAGGGAAGCAGAAAGAGAAGCTAATCAGATCTGTTTTATGTCATATTAATTGTTTTCTGATATTCAAGAAACTGTCAAGAAACGATATTGTATTTTTTCTGAGGCAAAATAAAAATCCCTCTGAAAACCGTCAAACTGAATAAATGACAAATAGAACTATTTCCAGATTTATTATGTTTAATGTGAAATAATGCAAGGACGACTTCAGGAGACATTAATACTTGATTGTGTTCATATAACGTTTTACTCCAAACATATGTTCATGTGATGCAAACAAAGGTTTTCGTTTTAAAGACAGGACAGAGGAAAGGGAGACAGACGGCAGGTGCATCATGTCCTTCCTGATTAGATCAAAGCCAGACTGATTCTATCACACTGTTAAACAATCTGGAAATAATATTTTATAGCATTCATACTGTAAGTTAACTCGAGTCAAAAGGAAGGAGACAAGAAAAAAGATAGAAATAATTTCTGCAGCTCTACAAAAACAGCCTTTGGGAAATTTATAGAGTAACAATACTAATTTTGTATTTCTGTTAAAATAATCAAACATAATTACTAGAACAAGAATTGCATGTTGCCATAATTCCATCTATAACATTTATGGTTATTTATTTATTATTAATAGACCCATGTTCTGTTTGGAGATGATTTATTTTCAATATGGACTTTGTTGTCTCAGTCATAACTTTCCTTCAGTGTGCTCCTCGCTCTTCCTCAGCTGTTCTTTAGTGACAGTCTCCAGTTGGTCTAACAGATGTTGGGTCTTCTCTGGGGTTTCCTCTCATTTGGAAGTACCAAAAAAAGCTTGTGATCCGGAGGAGCAGCAGCTCTGCCCGCTGTCTCCCCTGAATGCAGAGACAGGGGAGACAGTCTGTCCAGTCTGTAAGGCTGAGTGGAGTCACCCTCTGGAGGAAGCTCATCTCTGCTCCTCAGCTTCCTCTTCACCAACATCCAGAGTTTACTCCAGACAAAGCTCCTATCTGTGCACGTCAATCTCACATTAACAAGATGCCTGCATACTTTAACTCTTGTGCTTGAGATGGACATTGATTCTCAACCAAAAGGCATCCATCTTTTTCCGGTGGAGGACCATCACCTCAGTGAGACTCTTAGCTTCCCAAACACTTTCTGTCTCTCCAGACAGGATCGGGGGTCAAAGGGCTGTCCTGGTGAAATCTGACAAGTTTGAGTTTATGCCAAGATTACAGACACAGCTCTTGCTTTATTCATACAAGAAGTGGAAACTCATTTCAATAAAGTATTATGCACGCTTTGTGTGTGTGTGTGTGTGTTTTTTTAAGTGCACCTTTGAAAAACACTGACAAATTAAGACATTAAGACATTAAGACATTTGACATGGAACAGAGTTTGAGCAGTTCTGCAAATCTTTGTAACAGTAGGCACACATTCTTTATTCTAGAATCACACGGACTCTTTTGGGGAAAAACAAAACAAAAACAAAACTGTGCCATTGTGACAAAAGAAACACTTTTTGACATTTCGAGCAACTACCTTCGGTTGTAGTCTTCATCTTGTTGCTGATCCAAGCAATTATGTTAGCACCTGTTTGGAGAAACAGAAAATATGAGCACAGTCAATCAATCATGTCCTCCTGTCAGTAACTGACATTTATGTTTGTGATAAACTGGCTGCTTTGTTAGTTCGTTTTTTCACAAGGTTTTATGATGGTGTCATCGAATCAAACATTTCTTAGTTTTTGATTTTCTTGTACGATGTTATAGTAAGTACGTTTGTTTCACAGTTTTTCCTCCAGAATGGCGCTCCTGATGCTCTGCAGCTGAGGGTTGTTGAAAACATCAGATTTCTGTAATGTCTAAAAACGTGCATGTTGGAAATGATGATGCATAAAAATCCATCCAGTCTCCTCGCAGACTGTCTCATACCGTCCCACACATTTTACACCTGGCTGAAGATTGATGTGCCTGCAGGCGTAACTTAATCTTAGACTCGGTTGGAAAGCTACTTTGTCTTGTAAAGCACCGTTCAAATCTCATCCACTTATCAGCTGCTTTATTTAGCCTCAGAGTCTTACGCAGCGAGGCAGCCTGTCGGTGTCTTCAGATCTGTGATTTTTGCATTATTCAAAAGAACTTGTAGAATCTGTTAATCATGCGCCCATCATACAGTCTGCCAGTGGAAATTCATGTTCTCTGCTCTCAGTAATATTCTCTGGTTCCCTGACACCTCTTATATTCCTTTTATAATGTCTGAAATATATCTATGAACGTTTTTGCCTCTGAAATTGAAAACATTCACTCACAACTGTCTCATCCTTACAACATAACTGGTTGCAAATATTGCTTAAAACTCTCTGCACCTTCTATCAGTCACTATCAGTGACTATCAGTGACTATGTCACTGATAGTCTGCCATCTATCAGTGATATATCCTTCATCATCATCCATAAATCCTCCACCACTGGATCCTGGACAAAGACACTAACTTTGTCTCTTGTTTCTCATTGCAGACATATCCATTCTTTCCTCACCTCTTGCTCTGTCTCTGCCCTTTTTAAAACAGCAGTAATTACACCAATATTTCAGAAACCTGGCTTAGCCGCCACTGATTTTTATGATTCAGAACAATTTCCAACCTCACATTTCTGTTTGGAGTTTGGAGAGAAATTGGAGAGCTTTAGAATAAACTCTTCAATCAGCAGTGGAGTAAAAAAAAAAAAAAGGTATTAATTTCTGTTGCTACATGAATGACATCCAACTCTACCTCTGCCTCAGACATATAGCATTTTCTCCTTCATCCACAAACAGCTGCTAGTGGTTTAGAATATAATTTGATTCAGTATTATTTGTTATTTTAGCAATAATTTACCACGAATGTGGTCTTGAGACAGAAAAGAACAAAAGAAGAAAAAATAAATCTTTTCAAACCAGTCATACAGACTAAGTCAAGCAACAACAATCCAAACTGGTCAAGTTCAGTTCATTATTCAAATTGATTTTAAAAATCTGCTGAGAATTCCCCCTTAACGAGAAGAAACTCCCAGCAGAACCAGAACATGGATGGATGGATGGATGGATGGATGGATGGATGGATGGATGGATGGATGGATGGATGGATGGATGGATGGATGGATGGATGGATGGATGGATGGATGGATGGATGGATGGATGGATGGATGGATGGATGGATGGATGGATGGATGGATGGATGGATGGTGCTTGCCTGCAGTAGCTATGTGTCATTTACTACGCAACAAACATGTTAAGTAAAATAAAATTCATAAAATTACTTCCTGGACTGTGTGGCAGTTATTTATTTAAATCTGAAATAAAACAGCTTGTTGTGTGTGTGAGCCTCACCAGTGATGGCGTGAGGAATGGTGGTGACGTTGAGCTTCTGCTCTGAACCTTTCACTCCGTTTTTCGGGTCCTGCATCTCCACCACAATGGCGTCTAGCTGGAAGAAAGAAACATTCACACATGAGAATGGACAGAGAATGTTTTTTCAGCCAAAACACTGTGAAAGGCAAATATTAGGGAAGGACTTTGGGATGATGAACTCCATTGTTTGTCTACTTAAACTAATAACAGCACCGATCGGCTGCCACATTTATACTGGTTGCAACAATTTGATCTATCAGTACTTGGTATATTCATAATTTCCCCACTTTGAGACAATAAAGGATATTTCTAGTCCATTCTTTTCATATAAACAATTCCTTCTACCCACTAACTTTCCCAAAAGAACTATTGTTGTTCCAAAAATTACTTTGATAAATATGAAAAATAATTGTGTCTGGGTAGCACAGCTACTCCATGATTAGAAGATAAAACTAATCATGTTTTGTTTGTTTAAAACAATTCAGGTCAAAGTTCAGACTTAAATTCAACAGAAAACCTCTGACAAAGACTTGACACTGATTGGCTCCATGCAATCGTTTTCCTCACTCTTCCAACTAATGCACCATGTCTCGGTCTGTCACGTGCAATGCCAATAAAATGCAAGTTTGTGGTTGTAACTTTAGAAAATGGCTAATATATTTTCATTCCCCCCTTTTAATGTGTTTCCGAATGCTTGAAGGCATGAGCACAAGTGGACAAAGAACTCAGCTGTGTCCAAATTCAAGTTCAGATTTGGTCTCTTGTTATTGCAAAAAGACTAACACAATAAAATCCACATGTGGATTTTCTTATTAGACGGTTCTTTACTGGTTTTTAATGTGTGTTAAGACAAATAATATTTTCCTACACCTTTTCGATTGAAGTTACGATTAAGAATATTTCAGCAACTAATGTCAGGTTGTAGGGACATGCAAGTATACAGTTAGGGCCAGAAATATTTGGACAGTAACACAATATTTGTGAGTTGGGCTCTGCATGCCACCGCATTGGATTTGAAATGAAACCTCTACAACAGAATTCAAGTGCAGATTGTAACGTTTAATTTAAAGGGTTGAACAAAAATATCTGATAGAAAATGTAGGAATTGTACACATTTGTTTACAAACACTCCACATTTTAGGAGCTCAAAAGTAATTGGGCATATAAACATAACCCAAACAAAAAAGTTTTTTCTCAATATTTTGTTGCGAATCCTTTGGAGGCAATCACTGCCTTAAGTCTGGAACCCATGGACATCACCAAACGCTGGGTTTCCTCCTTCTTAATGCTTTGCCAGGCCTTTACAGCCGCAGCCTTCAGGTCTTGCTTGTTAGTGGGTCTTTCCGTCTGAAGTCTGGATTTGAACAAGTGAAATGCATTCTCAATTGGGTTAAGATCTGGTGATTGACTTTGCCATTGCAGAATATTCCACCTTTTTGCTCTCATGAACTCCTGGGTAGCTTTGGCTGTATGCTTGGGGTCATTATCCATCTGTACTGTGAAGCGCCGTCCAATCAACGTTGCAGCATTTGGCTGAATCTGGGCTGACAGTATATCCCGGTACACTTCAGAATTCATCCGGCTACTCTTGTCTGCTGTTATGTCATCAATAAACACAAGTGACCCAGTGCCATTGAAAGCCATGCATGCCCATGCCATCACGTTGCCTCCACCATGTTTTACAGAGGATGTGGTGTGCCTTGGATCATGTGCCGTTCCCTTTCTTCTCCAAACTTTTTTCTTCCCATCATTCTGGTACAGGTTGATCTTTGTCTCATCTGTCCATAGAATACTTTTCCAGAACTGGGCTGGCTTCTTGAGGTGTTTTTGGGCAAATTTAACTCTGGTCTGTCTATTTTTGGAATTGATGAATGGTTTGCATCTACATGTGAACCCTTTGTATTTGCTTTCATGGAGTCTTCTCTTTACTGTTGACTTAGAGACAGATACACCTACTTCTCTGAGAGTGTTCTGGACCTCAGTTGATGTTGTGAACGGGTTCTTCTTCACCAAAGAAAGTATGCGGCGATCATCCACCACTGTTGTCTTCCGTGGACGCCCAGGCCTTTTTGAGTTCCCAAGCTCACCAGTCAATTCCTTTTTCCTCAGAATGTACCAGACTGTTGATTTTGCTACTCCAAGCATGTCTGCTATCTCTCTGATGGATTTTTTCCCTTTTTTTCAGCCTCAGGATGTTCTGCTTCACCTCAATTGAGAGCTCCTTTGACCGCATGTTGTCTGGTCACAGCAACAGCTTCCAAATGCAAAACCTGGAAACAACCCCAGACCTTTTAACTACTTACTTGATTACAGGTTAACGAGGGAAAGGCCTTTTGAGTTACTTGCAGCCTTTAGAGTCCATTGTCCAATTACTTTTGGTCCCTTGAAAAAGAGGAGGCTCTGCATTACAGAGCTATGATTCCTAAACCCTTTCTCCGATTTGGATGTGGAAACTCTCATATTGCAGCTGGGAGTGTGCACTTTCAGCCCATATTATATATAAATTGTATTTCTGAACATATTTTTGTCAACAGCTAAAATAACAAAACCTGTGTCACTGTCCAAATATTTCTGGCCCTAACTGTAGAACATTTACTATTCGTTCTGCAGAATACTTTCTTTAGCAGTGACCTCTGCAGAGCAACAAAGCTAATTGGCTTTACAGGTTATCTTTAGTAAGCCTCAGCTTATCTGGCTTACCTACAGCAACTTTTCAAAAACATCAAAAACCATCTGGTGAGAATGGTTTCCTGCAGATAAACTGTATATTTTAGAATCGAATAGCCAGTGTTTACTATTTCAAACTAATGTCTACAAGTAAAAGTGATCATGCTCTCACCAACCTTCTTGATGCAGTGCGTGCGAGAACGGAAACGTTCCCCCCGGTTGGGACGCGCTGTTCTGATCGTCATACTTGCAGCTTGATCAGGACCAAATCAGAGCAGATCAAACGAAATTTAGGTGGGAAGTGTCCAAGGTGTAATATTTGTAGCCGAAGAGAGAGAGAGAGAAGTGTGTGTATACAGCAGGTCTGAACACACTGCTCCATAGTATGGATTACAGAAAAGGAGGAGAAAGTTTGTCCACCAATCAGCAGTCAGAATTCCTCCAGTGATTCCAGTGAAAAGCCAGACGGTGGAGCTAAGATGCCTGGTGGCTGGATCACCTGAAGGTTTAAAGGACCATCAAGGAAGAGCTTTACAAGGAGTTAAACTATTATTCTAATACTTTATTTCATAATAAACAAGATACAACCTCCCTTTTTTTTGTAAATTAGCTCAGTCAGATTGGATGGAGAGACCTTCCACAGATTCTCCGTTGGCTTGAGGACTGGATTTTGATTGGACCATTCTGAGACGTGAAAGGTGCGTTTCAATTGCGGTAAACTTTTCAGAGGAACCAGGACAATTTCTACAATAGTTTGTCCCTGAGTTTCCACTGCAGGAACCAGGACTACATCAGGCCTGCAGTTGAGGTAGAACTTTTTTAATGGAACAGTCTGTGCCTGAACTTTAGCTTCCTGTTTGGTGTCTTCCAATTATGCATCAGTATTTCCATATAATGCTGTTTTCTCATGATGGCATCTATTTGATGAAGTGCAGTTCCTCCCGCAGCAAAAACATCCCGATCGTGTGATGCTGCCTTCCCCCGTATTTCAGAGTGGGATGATGTTCCCATGCTTAAGGCGTAATTGTAAATATAACGATGGTCAGTATGGCCGAGCAGCTCCACTTCAGTTTCATCAGACCAGAGGACAAGTCTCCAAAATAAAATTCTTTGTCCCTGTGGACATCTGCAAAAACTGCTGTGTATGTTTTTTCCCTTCCTTTTGGGCTAATGCAGTGCTTCTCAATTATTTTCCGTCAGTACGCCCCCCTAGCAAGAAGAAAACTATTCGCGCCCCCCACTCCCCACCATGACTATCCATCTCTGCATAACATTTTTTCCTTATTAACATTTTTTTTCGCTGAAAAAACTCTACCGGCTTATCGGCGTGATTGGGATGTAACGTATTTAAGTGACGCGCTAATTTATTTGGCTTCATGCTGTCCGCTGCGAGCATTTTTAGACACAGCAAACACACCGGTCTTTCCTCTTCTCCAACTGTAGTCACAGTGAAGCCAAGCGCTAAATACGCTTCGTCGTATTTCCTCTTCTTAGCTTTCGGTTGACTTTCTGTTGTCTCATTATCTTTGTCTCTCTCCGCTTTTCTTTTCATCCCTGTGAAAAACTTTTTCATGTTGGGGTTGTTGAATAACGGAGGCCATAGACAGAACGCAGTCGGAGCTTTTTGTTGACTTAACACTGCTAACCAAGGCAAACCTGTTGTCTTGTAAGTCGTAAAATGTTGCACTGTCGCAAACGTGACAGAAGTAACAATGAGAGCGCCACTGCTGCCCTACTGTGCGCAATTACACTTTATACTAGTACAGCCAAAAAAAAGCCTGTTCCCCAGGATCACACGCGCCCCCCCAGGTATCGCATTTGAGAAGCACTGGGCTAATGGCTTCCTCCTCACTATGTGGCTTTTCAACCCTTGTTGGCACAGCACATGTTTCACTGTGGACAATGACATTGTCTCACCACCTTCAGCCAGCAGCTTTGCGAGGTGTTTGGCTTTTATTCTGGGGTTGATTTGAACATTTTGGCCCCCAGAAGGCATCGGTAGACTTATCGAGTTATCATTACTCTCTCTACTTACTTATTGAATTCATAAATCAAAAATCTTCAGCCTGCTGATTCAAAAATTATTTTTGTTGAATCTGCTGTAGCTTTAACAACAAAGTTACTGAATTTAAATCTCTAAAATGTTTGAATTACTGTGACTCTGTTCCTTACCCATAAAATAATTCATATATGTAAAAATGTCCGCTTATTGGATAATTCTGTGTAACATCTACAAAAACTTCTTCTCTAAATTAAAGTAGAAAAACTCTTATTCTAAAATGTCTTGTAACGTCAGATGACCCACCCAGAACCACCGTGATGCCGGCCGGAGCGCGCTCACGCGCTCACGCGCCACACACCACATTGCGCTGCGTTCAGGGAGAGTCTGTTTTATTTGATTTATTTATTTGTTTGTTTTATGAACTAAGCAGCACATATGTATGTACTGGACCACTGCGCTGAACCCCACTGAAAACCTCATTGTTTCTCCACCAAATGTTAATGTCTGAACTATTCTTGAGTTATTGTTGTTGTTTTTCAATGAATATGAATATGTTTTCTTTGCATTATTTGAGGTCTGAAAGCACTGTATTTTTTTTTTCGTTATGTTGACCATTTCTCATTTTCTGAAAATAAAAACTAAATTTTCGCCCGGAATTTCAGAGCCATAGATAAAAGAACAATGTTCATGTTAGTCAAATAAATACATCTTAAAAAAGTGAGGTCGGAGAAACGGATCATTTCATTTTGATTCTTTTCCGCGTTGGTGAATTTGAACAATTGTTCCCTCCCTGTCTGTTCGCTGGGGAGTGTCGAAATCGGACGACACGTGAACGCAGCAGCGGTCCAGGCTGAGCTCAGCTCTCCTCACGGACTCGCACACTGTATCGATGAAGTTGTTTCAAAGATGGCGGACTTCCTGCCGTCCCACTCCCTTTTATCATTATGTTTTCCGAACTGTTTCCTAACGAGCGGGGAGGCAGAGCAGCTGCGGAGGTCCAGAGAGATAGACAAGTGTATCAGCCGAGATAAGACTTACGTTAAAAGGTTAGTGAAGATCTTACTACTCGGAGCGGGAGAGAGCGGCAAGTCCACCTTCCTCAAACAGATGCGCATTATCCATGGGGAAGACTTCGATCAGAAGGCCAAAGAAGAGTTCAGAGCCACGATTTTTAGCAATGTTATTAAAGGTAAGGCTGCTCTGCGAAGTTGTGCTTAATGTGGTGAACGTGGCTGGTTGAGAAGTGCCAGTGCTCGCCGTGGCGGTGGGGTGTAGCTCTGTGTTGTGTAGCTCTGTGTTGTGTAGCTCTGTGTTGTGTAGCTCTGTGTTGTGTAGCTCTGTGTTGTGTAGCTCTGTGTTGTGGGAACTTTGAGCCGCGCTAGCTGCACTGATTGGGACGCTGCGGTGGAGAGGTTTCCTCCCCTCCCCGGGCTGCTGAGCCGCTCAGGCAACCCAAGAAACGCCCATGCAGGTAGATGCTGCCCTGACGGGAGCCATGGAGGAAGAAACGCCTAAAGAAAACTTTGAACTTTCATCCCGGACGCTCAGCCTGAGGTGTTTTGCTGCGGTGGTTGGACGCCGCCAGTGTTTCTCATGGCCGCCTGTTAGCGTCCCGCACGGACAGCGTGACATCACGCTGCTGCGATAAAGTGCGTGTTTACTGTAAACGCTGCTATCGCCAGATCAGATCAGCTGTCAGGTATTCATTCCTCTGTAGGTGGACGAAAAACACGACTGACCTCTGACAGCCACGAAACAGGAACCAGATCGATGTGGCACTAAAATGAACCGACTCTGTGTGAGAGAACTGGGAAGTGCTTTCTTATGCTATGCTTGTACTTGTGTGTGTGTGTGTGTGTGTGTGTAGGAGAGTTCATTTTTACTTTGTCCATCACGCAGCTCTAACTTGTCACTCTCTAGTTTTCTTTTTTCTCTCGTCTCTCCTGCTGTTTCTGGTAACTCATGGCTAAAAGTAAAGATATTCTTATTCTTAAACCTACTTATATATACAAAGTTTGATATTTTTCTTTCTTATAAAATCCCCCCAAAATAGAAAACAGCGGTTCTTCAAAAATGACAACAAAATCCCTATATAATTCGTAGGGATGTATACGATGTATCGGCAGCGACCACCATTGGTCAGTTATCATCATTTCGATACGATTATTAAAACTTGGCCGATATTAATTCAACAGAAAGCTGGTAGAAAGAAAAGAAATATATACAACTAATAGAAATGGGTGTATTATTTTTAATATTTAAATGGTGCAGAAGAGGATTTTTGTTTCTGCCAAAGCAATTCAAATCCATTTTCTTAAATTATACTTGTAAATCACAAATAAATGTTCGTAAAGTACACATTTGGTAGTAAAGAAGAGGTTGGACATATTAAGATGTTTTGTTATTGTGGGGCAATTTCAAGTTAGGTGGTTTGTGAGTTTTTGTTAAATGGGTGAAGTGATCCTCAGCCTGAAGAAGTTTGAGTTAATTGATCAGAGTTAATTGTACTAAATCATTACTTGCCAATTAATCATAAATGGTCAATTGTTTGCATTCGTGATATGAAGAGAACATCAGGTGTAGCAACAGGAAGGAAACATCACAGACATTATAGCAGTAATATATTGTTACTGCTATTATTAGTTTGAAAGGTGATTATTTTGGTGGCCCTTATTTCTAGACACACTTTGATGGAAACATTTGGGTCAGAACACACTGAGTCACCTAAAGACATTTATAAGGTGGTGTGGGCTCAGTCATGTTATCACATGAGTTTCATTCATCGTAATAAAATCCATCACACTGACAGTTTACCAGAAAGGCCCAGTATGAGATGGTGATGGGATGACAGCCTTCAACCACTGTCTCCATGTGACGCTATTACAGCTAGTGTTACAGATACGTATTTAAGTGACTCAGCAACTATTCCTAAAACATCACATATCACTTTTACATTATTATTATTACAGTCATAAATATAGTTGCGTTGACAGATGGCTAGTGTGGAAAAATAAGTAGTGGGGATTAGGCCTGTCACAATAAACAATAAATGAATTAATTGGGTGATGAATTAAAACAAGTTCAATAATTTATTGTTTTTCTCTTTCTACCAAAAACTGGACGATAAAAGTCTTCAATCTGGTATTTTGGTCTCAACTAAAACTTTCTTTAAAGGACAGCTTTGTTTCTTCATAATTCATTTTATGTGTTCATTTTGAATATTTAAATTGTTTTCCAGTTCCAGTGTTTACATTTACACATGGAGTTGAATGTTTTGAATGCTTTCTTTTCCTAACAATTATTGATTTATTTGCTGTGGTGATTGAGTGTTTATTCATCTTTGAGGATGTGTTTTTGTGTTACTATGCCTTTGCCATTATATTGCTTGAAAGTTGTCAATATTATCGTTTACTGCGATAACTTCAGGGACAATTTATCATCCAGTGAAATTTGTGATGACAGACCTAGTGAGGACGTTCAAGGTTGTGCTGTTTAAAACCATTCGACTATTTCAGCTACGCATGAATGAACCAGCTCCAGTTAAAATCCTCATTCTCAAATAGAGCAATAATATCAGCAACTTAAACACAACAGTGAGAGAGTTGGTGTTTTAATAAAATATGGGACTTTTTCTAAGCATATTTATTGTCTTTGCAGCGTTGAAAGGCACTGAATGTGACTTTCCATCAGATTAAGAACTAAATCAGGGTTTTATTAGGGATTGAACTATCTGTTATTTTAGTTATCAATTATTCTGACGCTTAATCGATTTAACAGGTGCAAAAACCTCTGCAGATTCTGGAGATTTTTTTATTCAACTACTTCAGCTTGTTTTATACAATATTAGAAAACAGAGTTTAATTACTTTTTAAAATAAAACCCCAAAACATCTGTCTTTCAGCGAACGCGTCGTCATTTGTAGCAAAGGATGAATCTGCTGCTAAAAATAAAAAAAAGCTGGACTCTTTCTGCTTGACTTGACATCAATACAGTGTAGGACTGATCTGTTTATCTTTTTGATTTATATTCAGATCTCCTATTAAGCAAAAAGGTGTTTTAATAGGAGATATTTTTAGGACATATTTACAGGTATAGGAGGATAATTTCAGTTACTATATTAGCTGATTTCAGTCTGATTAATCATTTCAGCCGCAGCCATGTCTCCTTCTTAAATGTTCTCTTATGTTCCTGCTGTGCATTCTGGGATCCTGTCTACTGGAGGACCAGCTGTTCCTGGCCTCTGTCTGCTTTGGCGTAACGTGTTTAAGTTCGGACGACGGTTTCATTATGTTGAGCCTCGCAACAAACGCTAATTGTGAAGATTTTCATTCCAAATGTTCCAGTAGCGGCCGAGCCGTCGGCCAGCATGTGCCGCGGCGGCCATCTCTGTCTGTGCCAGGCCTGATTAGATTACAGTGCTCATGATGTTAGCCAGACCTGCTGGAAATGGGCCGTCCACTGCAATATTGCATAATGCAACCTTATGGAAAATCTGTAGCCTCTCTTTAACCGCAGTGCTCATTTTTCCTACGAGATGACTTGATGCATTTCTGGCTTTACATTTACACGTGGAGTTGAACGTGTTGCACAAAAATGCTTTCTTTTCCTGATAGTTATTTATTTATTTGCTGTGGGGAGGCAATTTATTTTAATTGAGATCAACTGAATAGGTTTGTGTTTGATCACTTTTATAATGTGTCAATGCTTCTTGCTAATAAATGACAGCCTGTTTATTTCTCTCCACATGGAACAAAGAAGAACTGCGATTGCAAGTGGCTCTTGTTTGAGCTAATCTGAATATACTCAGATTAGCTCAAATCAATATCAGCAGGTTGGAGCATTTAAAAATATATTGCTGAACATTTAAACACATGAACATGTTGGATGGGTCCTCAGCCTTGGGAGTGAATGGGAGTTCAGGCCTTCTCCTCATTGGCTTCTTTCTGTCCGCAGCCTGAATGAAGGTCGGAGAAAAGCGCCGCTGCAGTCGATCACTCCAGCTTTCTGGGATGTTTGAAAAATAAACCAAGTTACTACGGCCTGTCTGATGCAGGCTGAGAGTTGGCTCACTCGGTGTCTCATTTAAAGCAAACACCAGCTTGACTTCCCCCTTTCTCAGTCAGATTAGAGCCTCAAACCAAACAATGTTTTATTTAGCTTTTGTTGACTCGTAAAAATGAGCTTGAAGGTCAGTAGTGTTCAGTTTGGCGAGTTGATCATGTATTTTGAACATCTTTTTAATTTTATGAATGAAGACAGGCTGCTCCAATGTCAGTAAATTATACCAATACTGGATTTAAAAATGAGATACTAAATTAAGTTGAGAACTTTGGAATACCTTCACTTTAAAGGATTAAAAAAAGAGAATTTGTGTTGGCATATCCCCATAAATGCTTTCATTTCAACACAGAGCATAGAGCTCTGATTTTAACATTTGTTTATTGGGAATGATAATTGCATTGCTTGATTTAAGACCTAAATTTCATCTGAACATCACATCCTGGAGATGAACATCCATCATCTTGGCGATGCGTTCAGGTGCATTTTATCCCCACTGCGTCGATGTGAGAACACCTAGTGGAGAGCCGCTGTCTCTGCAGGCCTTTCATGATGGCTCAGGATATGAACTGCAACTCTGCTGCCGTTTCCAGTTCAAAGCAGGAACAGGAAAGATCACGAGGGCCAGCTGTTTACCTCAGGAACTAAAGATACAGTATTTAGGCTTATTATTCCTGAGCTGTCAGCTTAAACCTGTGGTGGTGAGAAGCAGCTGAGACACAGAAGCCCAGTGTAAGTCAGAGTTCAGGGAGCTGTGATGTGACTGAAGTATAGCAGATTGCAGTTAGCAGGATTATTCACTGTGTTTTACCTCAACGTTTGGAGTTTTCAGTCAGGATTCTTGTGAGGACATCTTTAAACTGTTATTTAGTTGTTGTTTTTTTAGTTAAAAAATGTCAAAAGTTGGCAAGGAATTTGAAAATAAGACAAGGTTATTATGTGTGGTTGTAAGACATTTTCAACAACACTTAAAAATCAACTAAAAAGAAAAAGACATACATAAAAACGATACAATTAAATTAAATACCAATTATTTGCACTTCAATTGTTCCATTTGAATTAAAGTGTCCAAAATTTCACTTTATCCATGATTTGACACTTTTATTAGCTGAAGTTGTTAGCATGTAAACCTGATTCAGTATCCTGAATTGGGTTCTGCTTCCGTATCACTAAGAAGTTTTCCAATGCGTCCCCTCAGGTGTCCGGGTGTTGGTGGACGCGCGGGAGAAGCTTCACATCCCGTGGGGCGACCCGTCCAACCAGCAGCACGGGGAGACCATGATGGCGTTCGACACCCGATCCGCCATGGCCCACGGTCACGGCATGGTGCAGCCCAAAGTCTTCCAGCACTACCTGCCGTCCATCCGGGCCCTGTGGGCCGACGAGGGCATCCAGAACGCTTACGATCGGCGCCGGGAGTTCCAGCTGGTGAGTGCAGCACTCGGTCGCTTTGTTTGACGTAAGCCGTGTGGCTCAGGTTCACTGCTAAAAGTAGCAAATGGCAGCTTGGCTTTGGAGGAGACGGAAAGAAAAACTTCAACTCTGCCTCTGAGGATTGCACTAGGACAAACGGTGGGGTTTTTCATGTCTGGTCTGAGCTCATCTTGATATGCAGCCACGGGTCCGACTGGATTCTCCTCTCTAGCATAACACGGTCGGTCAGAGTTACTCGCTTTAGTGTAAATGGTGCGATGTGATTGGTTTGGCTCCATGAGTCACTGGAGCCTTCTGTCCTGTAAAGAAGAGAGCCTCGTCAGGTTTTTCTGTTTCATTTCAGACTGAGATAGTCTCTCTCTCTCTCTATTTCTCTCTCTCTCTTAGGGCGAGTCAGTCAAGTACTTCCTGGATCATTTGGAAAAGCTCGGAGAGTCGGTAAGTCCCACCCACACCCACCCGCGGCCCCTCCCCACCGAGCAGGACGGCCGATGGAGCAGATGGTCGTGATGACGCTTGTGTTTGATTGGAAAGAGAAGTGAAAGTGCTTTCTTCCTGTGCTTTGTGTCAGTGAGAACGTTGCCGCCGCCGCTGCGTATTCTCCCACATAGAGGAACCAAACCCTTTACTTCTGTGTAAAACAATCAGCAGAGTTTCCAGAACAGAATCAGAACAAGAGATGAAGTCATGCAGAAACTAAAAGCCGTAATGTGGTGGCGTTGCAGATAGTGGCGGGGGATTCTCAGGCCGCCGGATGGCTCCATGTTCCTGTGACTCATCAGATGCTAGAAATGAATAGGAAGCAAGTCCATACATCTTCCTGTAGCTATGGTAACAGGGGCTTGTCTTCGAGTTGTATGGACTCCGTCTGAATGCGTTTGGTGTGACGTTATCAGTCACAGTCGCACCGTGTTCAGGAACATTTATGAAGTCATGCATAAATGACTTCATAGCGCCAACAGGACATCGATGACCTTCAGTAGAAATATTAGTTTTATGCTCATGATGAGCAATTTATTGAAATAACCCTTAACTAATTTAGTAATCCATTAATCTTGAACTGTTGTTGTTAAACAGGTAACTTGCTGAGAGAAAACCTTCAGCCAAAACTATGAAGAAAATACAAAAAAGTAAAATATCTATATTTTGCATTTAAGACAACGTGAGAGCCGTAGTCTGTAAATTTGTTCTAACAAACACTCACTGCCACTTGAAGATGATTTTCACAATAAAAGCATGGCTCACAGAACAGACTCGCCGTTAGATCTGAAGTGGACGCCTCCATGTTTAAGGCTAGTTTGTTTTGTTTTTTATTGATGTTTCTCTGGACCCTGACCAGAACCACATGGTCTTCTTGCAGAACTACCTTCCCAGCCAACAGGACATCCTGCTGGCCAGGAAGCCCACCAAGGGGATCCACGAGTACAGCTTTGAGATCAAGAATGTTCCCTTCAAGATGGTGGACGTTGGCGGTCAGCGGTCAGAGAGGCGCCGCTGGTTCGAATGCTTCGACTCGGTCACCTCCATCCTCTTCCTCGTCTCTTCCTCTGAGTACGATCAGGTGGGTGTCATGTCTTATTCCGGGATGTGGGAGCAGCTGCAGGTCGGCTGCTGCACGTTCCCCTCCATCTTGTCTTGTTAAAGGAAAATGCTTCCAGTTAGCTTCTGATCTGTGAAGCTTTTCCACATTCAGAGTTCTGCAGTCGGCAGCAGCAGACATCACAGCTGTGACAACCGGTCAGGAGTCTTTAATAAACCAACTTTAATAAAGTTTTAATATTAAATCACAACCATGTGGACAACAGACGTTTTAAAGATACAGAAGTACACTAGCAGTCAAACAACAGCCAGAAATGATCAACATCCACCCACTTACATCACATGACTACTATCACTACTACTGCTGCAGCACTCTGAACCCTGACCCCTGACCCCTGACCCTACAGTCAACAGATCGGCTGAAGAACGTTAAGAAGGAAGAGGAAACTCTACAAACCTTCTTTAAATCATAAAACACATTTTGAAATAAAAGCATGAAGATAAAAAACATCTAAGTTCTTGAAAAATTATTTAATTTAATTTGATTGTTTTATATAATCCATATATCTGCATATATATATATATATATATATATATATATATATATCAGTCACATGACTGACTCAGTACCTGGCAGTCATGCCAGGTACTGAGTCACCAATCTGTGAACCACCAGATTGGTGTGAGATGTCCTGCAGTATGAAACCTAAAGGTCTCTGATAAAAGCAGAACCGCCGTCGGGTCTTCCTGTTCCTGTTTCCACTCGCATGTTCCCCAGCGGGTCAGGGTTGCGGCTCAGATCGTCAGCCGAGAACTCACGGCCCGGTTTGCACTCTGACCTCCCCCAGGTGCTGATGGAGGACCGGTACACCAACCGGCTCGTGGAGTCGCTCAGCATCTTCGAGACCATCGTTAACAACCGGGTCTTCAGAAACCTCTCCATCATCCTGTTCCTCAACAAGACGGACCTGCTGGAGGAGAAGGTGAAGCAGGTCTCCATCAGGGACTACTTCCCCGAGTTCTCGGGCGAGGCCGGCAGCCTGGCGGCCGTGCAGCGCTTCCTGGTGGAGTGCTTCCGCAGCAAGCGGCGCGACCAGCAGCAGAAGCCGCTCTACCACCACTTCACCACGGCCATCAACACGGAGAACATCCGGCTGGTGTTCCGCGACGTCAAGGACACCATCCTGCACGACAACCTCAAGCAGCTGATGCTGCAGTGATGGAGCGGACCGGAGCGAGCGGAGGAGGGGGTGATGCAGACAGAACCGGGTGACCCAGTGCCTTCATGCCTACAGTATCCCTGCACCCCACGCTAACCTCAACTCCCCTCCTGCTCCTGTTTGAACTCAGACTGAGTATTAAAGCCACCACTACTACCCCCAACTGTGACTGATGACAGCCAGCTGTGGCTGAGAGCCTCTGAAAGAGACCTCTGCAGTATTCCATCATGTGTTGCTCTGATGCTCTGACCAGTGTTAGTTAGTATTAGGAATCGTCTAATCATGTCATGTCCTCTAATCTCCGATCGTACCGATGAGTTCTATTCTCCATTCGCCGAGGGGCCCCATCAGCTCTGGCCCTTCTGGGGCCTCCGCTCAGGGCTCAGCAGGGGCCCCCTCTCTGATTTGAGGCGGATCAGAACCGCCAGGACACCAGGCCTGGACACGAGGAGACTTCCTGTGCTTGGAAAGCAGAAGTCCGGCCTCGTTCAGGCTGATGAAGTATTTTGATGTTTAGTGTGCAGAAGGTTTTTTTCAGGTTTCTAAGAGATTTTCAGAGCAGCTCAGATCAACGATGCCAAACCGTTCCCTCCTCTATCAGACCTTTACTTTGTTTGAACCACTTAAAGTGATGATGGTAAAATACTGCGGTGGCCCAGTTTGTGTTTACTGCCTGAGATGTTCTGAATGGTACCGGTACCTGACCCGCCAGGCTCTTCCTCACCCTGGTTTCCAAACAAAAGGAAGTACTGCTACCTGTGTGCTGCTCCGCGGCTCCCCCTGCTGGCCGCTTCTATTGTATAAAATGTATGTAGATCTGCCAGCCCAATCTGCTGTGGAGGTTGTTTCTCATGTTGGAAGGTTCTGATCCATTTGTTCACTCTGAACGGTTCGACTGACCTCTGTAAATCTCTGACCCGTTCTGTTGATTCTAGCTTTAGAGAGGAGACGTCACACTTTGCGACAGAGAGCACTCACTCTCACTCTTGACTCACAGCAGAGAGAGAGGAACCGGATATTTCCAAGTGTCTTCAGCGTCTTTTGGTAGCGATAAGTGCGCTTTCCATCCCTTAACTCTGTCTGGAAAACGTTACTGAGCTTCATTCAGCCTTCCTGTTATCTACTCAGTTCACCTTGAACTGCAGACATGGAGAAAATCCAACTTCATGTGCCTTCCTCTGATACGAAGGCGGCTAACGAGGAGTCCCGTTAGCCGAGTTATGGTTGGACAGAAGGACGGGACGAACTACAGGACGACTTGAAGGGAGAGTTTTGCAGATCTTTAGACGGAGCAGGCTGGCTAACGGCTGAGTGGTGTTCATGTTGCAAAGCCAGACAAGAAAGTTCTGTCCGTGTCAGGGGGAGTGCGGGGGGTTTGCGTGTGTGTAATGTGTGTAGATGAAGCAACGCTCTGTTTACACACAGAGACACTCTGTGTCCGGCCGGCTGCTCTGTCCAGAGGAGTGTCCTCTGTCTGGACTGCTGTCTCGCCATGCCGTCGGTGGCACCGACAGTGAGTTTCAGTAGAAGGAAGGCCGCTGTCCCGCCTGCCGTGTGTGACTCCTGGAGTCTAAGCGGAGATGGGTTGGTTCCAGCAGATGGCGCTAGCGCCTTGCCTGAGACGGATGGAGGTGAGGGGCGACACCTGCTGACCCGCCATGGTGTCACTTATTCACTGGGATGTTATTTACGTAGCAACTGGAGGCCATTCACACAGGAAGTGGAGGTCAGAGGTGAAGTGCCTCCCATGGCCTTCATGTATAAAACAATGTTCACTTCAACTGGTGTGATATTTTTGCTTGTTTTACAGTGTTTTTACTTTTGTATCACAGTAACTCTGAAAATACACACTTTGCATGTCGCATTCTTAGTAGGATGATCATAGGTGACGCACTGCCTCCAACCCCTATTTCCTGTTTAAATGTTTCTCAGGTTGTGTAAAAGGTTGAAAGAATGATGAAAGGCTGGTTATATAAGCCGTTTTGGCTGTTTTCCGATTGGACTTTGAAGACTCGCCTGAAGACTTGGCGATGGATGTACCTCAGCCGCTCCTTTAACAGAAGCTCACCTTGGAAATCCTGAACTGTCCCTGTAAATAAAGTGGCAGATGCTGATTCTTTTTTTTTTTTAGGTGTGGTTTGCACTAAGACAGATGTGGGAGAGGAACATCTGGTGCTGATGTTTGGACTTCTCTACGCTGAGTGTGAGGAAGGCAGATTGAGCACTCACTGATTTGGACTCGTTTCCTGCTGTTCTGAACGAGCGGCCCGCATAATGAGGCATTTTTTAACCTTAGGATATCTGTAACACTTTGTACCATCAGGGTGCTGCTTCTGCAGACTGTGGGTTGTGAACGTTGTGTGTTGTGTTGGTACCGCAGATGTGAATCTGCTGCAGCAGCTCCTTGGAGGTCTCACTCTGACCTGTTTTTGACAGAGCAAAACGCCTGATTGGCTCGTCACTCTGCTGACCGCCTTCTGAAGTTTTTATTGGGCTTCAAATCACTTTTTTTTTTTTTTTTAAGCTGGGCATGTGAAATTGGACCAACGGCACTTTCTCTTACATTAGAAGTATTTTTTTGGACTAAACTTTATGCCTTACTTCTACATGTCATGCCCATGTCTCCATGGCAACTCTGCAACCATTATTATTCTGACTAACTTTTTCTAACAACACTGAAGCCTTATGTGATGCAATGTCACACTCTGAAGGGTTACTGTTCTTCCAAACCTCCAGATGTTGCACAATATGTCTTACTGTCTCCGGTTGCCTTCTACCGTTTTCCTGTTGCTGGTGCTGAAAGTTGCCTCCTGGTTGGTGAACCTGACTCTTCAGACCCATAACTACAGTTAGAGGTGCAGAGTTCTAAGTTTCTCTGCAGTCACAGAAATGAAACACATGTCTGATTCCCCTCGGAGGGAAGTCAGCTTTTGCAAGGTCTAAGCTCTGACGCAGCACTACTCTATAGAAATGAGAGTTTTTATGCCGCCATCTTGTTTAAACTATGTTAGCAACAGTTTATTAGTCTCTTTGTCGACACACAAAATGCCATGTCTTTGTGTAATGTTGTTGCCATTTAATATTGTATTTGTGCTCCCAGTTTGGGTTTGTTCTGATAACACAGCTCTGGCTGTAAAGTCTAACTTATAATGTCTTAACCGCCGACACTCCTCAATAAATCAGCTGATTTTTAACGTCTACTGTCACTGTTGTTTGGTGTTACTGCAGTCTGAATGTGAAGGTACATACACTGTAATTCATACACACTGTATGGAAGTTTACAAATGCAAACTTCCATACAGTGTGTATTTATTTGATACAATATTTCTTTACCTATATATATATATATGTTAGTCCATCCATCCATAGGGTCGCAGCCTAAGCAGGGAGGCCCTGACTTTCCTCTCCTCAGCCACTTGTTCCAGCTCCTCAGGGGAATTCCCAAGGAGTTCCCAGAACACCTGACCAGGAGGCATCCTGACCAGGAGGCATCCTGACCAGGAGGCATCCTGACCAGGAGGCATCCTGACCAGGAGGCATCCTGACCCAGAGGCATCCTGACCAGGAGGCATCCTGACCCAGAGGCCTCTGACCCAGAGGCATCCTGACCAGGAGGCATCCTGACCCAGAGGCATCCTGACCAGGAGGCATCCTGACCCAGAGGCATCCTGACCAGGAGGCATCCTGACCAGGAGGCATCCTGACCAGATGCCCGAGCCTCAATGTGAAGGAGCAGCAGCTCTACTCCCAGTCCCTCCTGGACGCCGAGCTTCTCACCTTGTCTCCACGGGAAGAGCCCAGACCCCCTACAGACCTGCTTCTATCCGTGACCTCGTTCTTTCGGTCGTGACCCAAAGCTCATGACCACAGACGAGGGTAGGAACAGAAATCGACTGGTAACTCGAGAGCTTCGCCGTTTAGAATGTTAATGTCATTCCACCATAAATGTGCAGAGAAAATGTGCATGGCGAGGCAGAAAGTAACGTGGCTCACTGATGGGGGGGGGGCAGTGCTGAGCCCTAAAGATGCTCTTCCTCTGAAAAGACTGGAGACAGAAAGATCCAGTTGGAACAGAGTAGAACCGTTCACTCTCATTTTTGGCTGCCAGCTTTAAAAGTTAAGGGAAAATTAGAGAAACTTCTTTTTGTGAGTGATAGATATTTGTGGCAAAAGATAGATACCTTCTATCCTTAGGTAAATCATTAATTTACTGTAATTATTCAAATTAAAGTCATATGGCTTTAAATTCAAATAAGTGAAAGGTTAGCCAAAGAACTTTCAAAATAAAACAAAATCAAATGTGACCTATATTAAGTATGAGCTTAATTTTTTTTTATATCTTTGTTAAATTCAAAGCAATTTATTGAAGCACAACTATTTTTTTTTTGTTCAGATGATCTCTCTTCTGTTATAGTGATAGTATTAACAAAAGTATATAAAGATTTTAATGTCTTGTGCTGCAGCTTTAATTCTGTTGAGTTGGAGGGTTTGGTTCTGGAGTCGTTCATGTCTCTGATGGATCCACTAGGATTCTGCTGTGGTTCTGTGAGGGTCGTTATGCTGATCTGATCTCATTGGCTCAGACTGTGTTGATGGATCAGTGTTGCTGTCCGTGGTGCTGAAGGCTCACCTTACACCACAGCATCGACCAATAACTGAAATATTATTTCCAGACACCACAAATTACGCCTTATCAGTTTTTATTTATTTTTTTTTTAAAAAGAGTGGAAGCAGTTCAGCACTTCACAGGATGTAAACCGACTGGCACCTAATTAAAAAGTTGACAAAACAATTTTTTTTAAAAAAGCTATAAAAAAAACTTCACACATTCTGAACAGTTTAAATGACAAACATAATGACTGATGTTGAAGTGGCTGCAGCAGAGAGCTGCTCCACATCCAGCGGGATCCAGATCTGTGTCGTCACAAAGAGACACTAAGACGTCTGATGGTTGGAGATCAGCAGCAGCTCCCGTCTGGATCCTGTTATTGGTTCCTACCAGATGTTCTCCAGATGTGGTCGACCTCAGACGACCTCAGTCTGTTCAACTGGACTGGTTTCCATCAAGTCCACCTCCAGAAAGTCTAAAGGTTTACTATCCTGAGACACCTGCTCTTCTTCTCCTTCTTTGTTCTCGCTCCTGCTTGTTCTGCGGCACGCACCAGACTTGGCCACGCCCACCAGAGCCAGGCAGACAGCGCTGAGCCCCATTCCTGCTGCACATGAGTAAAATGCTGCTCCGTAGTTCTTGGTCATGTCCACCAGCACACCTGGAGGGTAAAGTGGAGTCAGATGTTATGGTGCGTTCACACCAAACACGTTAAATGTGCATCAAAACGTGTCCAACGCTTCAAATTCAACGTGCATCAAGCGTCTGTACTTTGAATGCAGACCCTTGATGGTGTGTTCACACTAAACACCATCAAGCGCCTGACACCACAACGTCACAACGTCAGGCGCAGCTGGTTTACATTCAAAGTTTATGTGGAGGAGCAACAGACGTGTCAGAATCTCTCCAGCCGTTGTTTCCCGTTGCCAGTCAATTCGTTATACGCATCAAACGCTCACAACGTTTCAAATCGGCCACACTAGACGCTTGATGCACCTGCACATAGACTTTGAATGTAAAACAGATGCAACTGACACACCAGTGTGAACGCACCATTAGGCTGTACACTCTTTACAAACCGGTCCCTCCAGGAGGTGGTGATGTTTTTATCTGATAGTTGTGGCCTAAAATGATTTTTTTCAAAAAGCCGTGGACAAAGTAGCAACATCTTGAAGCTTTATTTTTACCATAACATAGACTTACAAAAAAGTTGATATTGCTGACCATAACCTTCACAAAACCTGCTGTTTTTCTTTAAAAAGTTACAAATCAAAATATAAAAAACTGGCTTTTATTTCAATAATTCTGTGACTTGAAGTCAAAGTCAAAATAAACAAAAGCTGGAAAACAACATGGTGGTTGTTGGTTGTGGTGACATCACAACAAAACCAGAAAATTTAAGCAATCAATTAAAAAAACCACCAGGAAGTTGCATTAGAAGGGAGCTAATGGGACTGGTCAAAATTCAGCTGGGTTACAGTGATTGGTCAGAAAAGAAGGAAATATGGTAAACAATAAAGCGATTGGGAAAAGTTGTGATGACTGCTGAATATTCCAAGTGTGAGTGAATTAGCATGACTGGTTTCTACTGGAGGGACTGGTTAACGGTGGACGTGCTGACCATACCTGCCAGCGGCGGTCCGGCCAGGCCGGCGAAGCTCTGGATGAAGACGTAGACCCCGACACAGGCGGGCATCCGGCCGATGCCCACCACCTCGTCCTCGGCCAGCAGTGGGATGTGGGTGGAGCCCACGGTGCCCATGAAGAAGCCATAGAGCGTGCAGCACACCGCCAGGCCCCAGAACTCCCACACCACGGCGAAGGCCAGCAGAACCATCGCCATGGCGACCACACAGCCCAGTAAGACGCGGGTCTTCCTGCAACCCACCCTGTTCATCACCACCCCGATGGAGAAGCGCCCCACGATTTCAGCCACGGCCATCACAGACAGCATGCTGGGGGCCACGCTGGGGGCCACGCCCCGGCTCTTGCTCAGCTCGATGATGTAAAGCTGTGGGGCGAAAAAGCCCAGCGTGGCCAGCAGGCCGAACAGACAGTACCACAGGAAGGACGCGTCCTTCAGCATGGAGAAGTCCAGCAGCCTGGCGGGGCTCCCAGTCCCGGCCCCAGCCCCTCCTTTCGGGTCCTCCTGGACCAGGCTGGGCGGCAGTGACACCTCCTCAGCATTGTCCCTCAGGTCCTGGTCGGAGGAGGACAGGGACGTCACGCCCGAGTCCCCGGAGCCTCTGGACACGGCCGAGCACAGCGAGGTCTGGGTCTGTTCGTTCTCCAGCTCATAGGCGCTCTGCTGCTTCTGAGAGGCCGACTCAGAGTCCGAGTCGCCGTCCTCCCTCACCAAATCTGGCTCGATGCTGATTGGACGCAGGAGGACGCCGAAGACAACTACAGACGCCTGCATGACGCCGAGGACCACGAGGCAGCAGCGCCACCCGATGGCCTGTTTCAGTCTGCTGAACGCTGTGGAGACATGGTGATGTCATCAATAAGAGCCGAGGCTTAGCTGAAGCAAAACCTCAGACATTGTTATCAGACATAAAGAATCGGATCGCTGCATCCATAGCTGCAACGGGCAGAAAGAGGGAAAACTCACCGGGTGCAAAAGCAAATATGGCGAAGGATTCTCCAGAGGAAGCGATGGAGGTGACGAGGGCTCGGCGCCTGGAGAAGTACTGGGCTAGGATGGTGACCGTGGGGAGGAAGGAGAGGCAGAAGCCAAACCCTGAAGAGAGTAGAAAAGAAACAGGGGACATGACAGCCACTGGCCTGCATGGGAGGAGGGGGGTGGGTCAAAGGGTCAAGCCGGCAGGTCACTCCTTTGTCAGAGCTGGCAGGCTGCTGGAGGTGGGACAGGTTTGTTACAGCCACTGCTGGAAGACAAAATGCATGTAAAGACAAAAAAAGAGACAAGGGGAGAGAGAAGAAGGAGTGGGGACGTTAGCTAAGTTCCTCTGCACAGGAAGACGTGGAAAACATGGAGGGAGAGCTAGCAGTGAGGATCACATGCTCTTTGGTCCAAATATCACTGAAGTTTCACTTTTAGTTCTTTCTCTTCAGGCATCTCTGTGGGTCACCCCTAGAAATCTACGGAGGGTAGAGAGATGTAACTGTGTCGTGTTTCAGAGGTTCTGAAACTTTGGATCACCAGAAGGTTCTGAAAGGAACAGACGGGTCCAGTGGAGGTGAAGAAAAAAAAATTCATTCTGTACAGAATTGCAATTCTGAATTGATTCAAAATGCTCAAAAATGGATTTTATGAAGCGTTCAACTTGTAAACGTTTGCCTCTCCTATTTATGACTGTAATGCGTGTCGTACTGCACACCCACTGGGTCACCACAGGTGCTTTGAAAAATTCTTTTATATTTTTTATTTAAGAAAAGGCTAAGCTAATGCTGGTCATTTAAGTTGCACAATTTGATGCACAAACCTGTTTTTGTTTAAATATAAACTGGTGAAATGTAATACATCAGCTTATGCATTAGTTTTGAACTATTTTATATTGCAAACTCAGAGAATAGTTTTGAATAAATGTTTTTTTAAACAGAATCTCTAAACCATTTGGTTTCTCTATGGAAAATCATTTCTGAATGGAATCAAATCACGAGACACCAAAAGATTCACAACACTGCTAGAAGTCCCTTCAAACACATGATTATACATAGACGTAGATTTATATCTACGTGGATGGATAGATTGATTACCTGAGATGATGCCGACAGTGACGTACATCTGGTTGATGCTGCTGGTGAAGGTGGAGCAGATCATCCCCAGACTCATGAGGAAGCCTCCCATCATGACCACTGGACGGTAGCCGAAGCGGTTGCTGAGCAACGAAGCCACAGGGGCTGCGGGTTGAAACACAGTAAAGTGTACATTTGATTATTTGTAGCAAAGCATGCATCCGCAGCTACAGATAGACTTATAAAGTGTATCTAATGAGAAACGCTCAGGCCCTGCTGCTTGACTAAAATCAATATGTTTGGACTGACTGGTTAACAGTTGGACAACAAAAGGTTTATTTTACTGAATGTGAACCAGGTGAACAGATTCACAGACAAAGGTTTGTTTTTTATCTTTAATGCAAAATGTATATCTTTCTGTAAAGTTTTAACTTAATTACTATTTCAACAAATGGACTTTTTAGAGTCTGGATACTCCAGATCATTTTCAAATGCAAATAATTAATCAATTACTAAATTAGTTGGCAATTATTTCAATAATCCACTGATGGCAATTAATCCGATGAATCATTTCAGTCCTGATCCAGGTTCTCTGACCCGTTCTTGTCTCGTTGTTCGTCCGTCTGCAACCATTCCATGCCTTGGTCCCTAAAACAGAAACACCAGCAGGATACAGGAAGCTCTGAGTCACCATGGAGACCAACCTGTGAAGGCAAAGATGAACGCGGAGATGGAGATGACCCAGGAGACACGGCTGTTGCTCTCCCGAAACTCCTCCATGAGATCCTGGAGGAACACTCCCAGGGTCTTGAGGACGCCATACGTGTTGACCTCCACCATGAAGAAGGTCACGGCCACGGCCCAGCCCCAGCCTCCGTCCGGCACAGCCGGGTAAACATTTGGACCCAAGCAACAAGGTACTCTGGGAGTCTCCATGGCTACAAGAGAGAAACACACACAACAAAATCGCTGAGATGGGTTCTGGGGGGGGGGGGGGGGTGTCTTTGTCTTCTACAAATTGTTCATGTTCGTTTTCTATCGATTTTCTGTGTAAAAAAACAAAAAAAACAACAACAAATCCAGCAGATTGCCTTCCAGCCTTCTCTCCTACTGCATGAACATGTTGCAACAGTGGAGGGGAAAAACTTCCCTTTAACAGGAAGAAACCTCCAGCAGAACCAGAACCTGACTGTCTGCCACCACCAAGCTTTCTGATCAACCATCAACTGAAATCAGGTGAACTGACGCGGGGAGCCCTCTAAACATGTGGACCAAGAGGAACAAGGATGAGAACAAATAGAAAACATTCTGGAAAAAAAGGAGGATTTTCTGATTTGAACCTCACAGCGCCCCCTGGAGGTCGACCTGGTTGTATTTATACCAATTTGAATTGGAATACAATTTACCAGGGCAAATACAAATGAAAATCGTTTTTCAATCATCTGAAATTCTCAAAAGTTACAAAAATTTCATTTCTTTAAAATTGGACAGATACGATGTGACTGTATTAATATCACTTTCTATTTCATCGATTCCTGTCTAACTATTGTTGAAATAAGAATTTTAAAGTAGCACAATAGTACATAAGTTAACTTTTAGGTTAAGATAAACTTAGATACAGATCCAAACTGGGACAGCTGGTGACTCTCAGAACTTACAGAAATTCCTAATCAGAAAACAGTCTTAGACTCCTTGAATCTCTTTACATAGGGAGCCTGTCTGCCAGGCAATTAACAAATTCCTGAGCATGGTTCAAAAGTTCACTAGGATCTTAAAACTTTTTATAAATAATTTTATCTATATTAGAATTAACTATATTTCTTTAAGCATGTTTTTAAATAGTTACTTATTAGATCCAAACTTATAGTCATTATTTAGCATTACATTGTGTGCAAGCTTGGTTAAAAATACAAACTACTTTCTTGTGAAAACATTTTGAGGCAGAGATAGCGCTGCAGCTGCAATCATATATCAAACTGGACAGCGGCTGGTACGAGAAGGGTTTTCCGTATATCTGCCTTTGGGGCTCTTTAGCAGGAGGTAATAAAATTAACATTGAGACAGCCCACACAAAGGAAAAGAACACACCTCCTAATGCATATATTTAAATGAGGAGAATACGCAGTCTATAAAAATGGTTTGTTTCACAGCAGAAGTTGGAATCTCTTTGTGCTGAGTGAGAGTTTCCCGGAGGATGCATCTTCTGTTATTCTTTTGTCTTTTTTTTTACTCAGTTCTTTGTCTCTGTTTTGTAATGTCTTGGACTTTTGCTCTAGGTGAGATGCTTATTGTAAAGTTCTTCTTGGATTGAATTTCTCTGGATAAAACTCCTCCATCCACCCCTTTACCTGACACCTGACCATCCGGGCAGTCGCAGGCAGATGCCCGGATGGTCAGGTGTCAGGTAAAGGGGTGGATGGAGGACGAGTGTGCGCTTCAACACTTGTCATTGCCGTGGCGAGGAGGGACATTGAGCTCTGCAGTGTCCCCATGGGCCGTCATCATCTGCTGAAAGACGATGTGTTGTGTGTCCTGCTTCCTGCACACCCCCACATGCTGCAGTGGTCTCAGGACATGGTGGACTTTGACCTCACAGTTCAGTTTATGAACACACCCCACAGAGACTTGTGGAGGAGGGGATTGATGGGAAACTCCTGATCACATGAGAGTTACTGGACATTTGTTGTCATTTTTGGTGGATGCTGGAGCCACCTCTATGAACACTGTGATGCCTTCGACATGCATTCTGCTGTGACTGTATATTCTGCGGCTTGCACTGCTGAACTGTTTTTGCTGCAGCCGCTGGAGGAACACCCCTCTGGAAACCCTCGACCCAGGCACTTACACCTACGGGCAGAAGTCTGACCTGTCTCATGTCATTCTGTTTTTAGGATATAACCAGTCTGAATGGTATCAGGAGCAATTTGAGGGAACATTTAGTTGGCAGGGGCTGGACAGTGGTTTCTCAGGTTATTTTGTGGCACCAGAGAGTGTTGCTGCCGCAGTTTGTCTGACTGTGGTACAATTGGTTTAACATGCAGGACGAAGCAGTAACACATGTTTCTTTGGTTCTGTAACACAGCAATACAGTTCAGGACTTAGGTGGTGTGGTAAAATGCCTTTTATATGTTTTGAATTTGAACATTATAGTTTCTCCTCCTCTATTTTTTCTCTCCATCGACTGACACGTATAAAATATAACAAACAAGAATTGTCTGGGTAAACACTGGTTTTGGGACGTCTTTTGCTCCCTCGTTATCACGGTCTGTTTGACATCACACCAATCACATTTGGTTTTACAACCTCGTCCTCCCATTTGATTTACAGCAATTTCTGGAGACAGGAAGATAGGACAACTGGCAGGACACATGATTTGTAGAAGACTGCTTTGACTTTGTTAACCTTGTAGTGCCGGTCAGTACTTTTAGGTTCCTCTCTGACTTATATTTTTATGTTGATTTTGATAGCGCTTTATTTAGTTTTTCCCTTGCCAGGGTTGTAGAGATGTGTTTTCTTTCCCTTACACAAGGTGACCGTTTGTGGGATGTACTTCTTCCACAGACGTTTGTTTTTTTATTTAGGAATGTTTAATTTGGTTTTGTAATGGTACTTGGCTAGTTGTCTATTTTCAGTAGATGTGATTTTGATTTAGTGTGTTGATAATCTCCTGCTATCTGCTGCTGCTCATTATAATTTGCCGTTTAATTTGGATTTTTCTATAACAGAACTGATGTTCTTAGCAGTTCTGTTTCAGAAAAAGGGGGAGAGCAGATAATTCTCCAGTAAAACATGAGATTGAAATGAGAGAGCTGCAGAAAGCATTGCTTCTGTGGTGATTCATGCAAGGACCGTTGATGCTTAGCTATAAAAGTTTGTAAATGGTAAGTATTTTGATTGAATAGGTGGAACAGAACCACGTGGTAAAATCATTCAACATCAACAGAGTTTCGCCAGAAGAACTATCTATGTGGAAGGCAAGCAGAGCCATCATGAGATGACATCTAATTAAAGAGTATGTGCCATACAGCCCGCACATATATACAAATATGCACATCAATAACTTATTTTTGCAGCTTAAACGGAGACTGTTCATTGTGGATGCACATGTGTGTTTCTTGTCTAGGTTGACATGCTTTCAAATCTATTTTCAGTCAGACGTTTTCTCGGGATAAATTTTGGAGTGTATTTTAATTACAAATTTATTTATTATATTCTTGTACTTACTTTAATAGTTTATTTGAGTTAGAAGTAAGTGCTTGATTGCTTAATTTTCCGATACACTGAACAGATAGAAAATAAATGTCACTATAGTAATCTCTGGCCTTGGCCCATCATTTTTGTGTGTGGTGGCCCGAGTCATGAGAGAAACCGTCACAGGTCCGGTTGATAAGGTGATTCTCCCCGAAAATATTAGAATTAATGTTTCTTTTCAGGTAACACAGGGAACGACACGGGTAGGTTTTCACAGGTAGGTATTGAGGTGTTTTGAAACCATTTCTCAGGATGTTTTTATATACAAGCAGTACAATTAACTGTCACAAGGATTTGATTACTTATTAGATTCCAGTGATGGATTCCAGGAACTAATGAGGTAGGTTGATGCTACATTTCAGGTATCAGGATCTCCAGGAAGTGGAACAAAATCCTGGGTTTGAATCATTTTATTTTTGGTACAATATATTATCCATAAGTTGCAGGCAAACGTGGGGATTGAATGGAACAAAATACAAAATTGGCTAAAATCTGTGCACAGACAAAATTTTAATGGGGTAGTTGCAGTGCCTGCTATATTGTCTGTTGCTTTGTTGTCTGTTAGGATGTCCATTAATAAATTTACAGGGCTTTTCTCTTCGTACGAGCATGAGATCAGAAGATTTCCAGGGCCAGCCGTCAGAACTCCCAGATGGACAGGTAACCCTGTACATTTATCTCATAAAAGATTTGTTTGATGAGTTACAGTTAATAGCAGCAGAGTTTGTGGAGTACCAGGGGTCACAGGAGAGGTCGGAGAAGAGATCTGCATCAGGATACACCTGAATGAGGCGGAAGGTCATCAAAACGGCAGTAGTCTGACTTCTGCTTCACTGAGCTCTACCAAGTCATGGAGAGGACGTCCGAGCCGCTCCGACTGACAGTGTGGATGAGAGACCTGGTTCTGATGGGGACAGCAGAGGATCTTCAGTTCGCATCAGAAGTGGAAGAGCGTTTTCATCCCCAGTTCTGACCCAGAGGAGGAGCCACACTCAGGGCCAGAAGTATAGCAGATTTATTCTTGCTATACGTTCTGGTTCCTGGAGTTCAACGTTTTGAGGCCCAAAAACAGGCATAATAATCATTTTTTGGGTTTCTCTGATTGAATGAGAGGATGAAATCCCTCCATTACACTCACTGTGTTGGCATAATAATCCAATATTCAGTGAGCTTCGCATATTCAGGATGGACGCCTGCTAAAACTGTCGGGTTCAAGAGGAAAGGAGTTGCCGATTATTGCGAACTGTTGCGAACATTTCTTCCTATTTTTTCTCCAGAATTTTTAATTTTTCTTCACCAAAGATTTTATATCTTTCAGGAACAATCAATGGACACGAAGCAACATAAAGAAGTAAAGACATTATTGTTTAATATAAGTGTGTGACTGTATGTATTGGTGTTATTTTTCTCTTCACAGCATTGTTGTGTTTTTTCTGTTGTAGTTTGTACTGTTATTATTTTTACTGTTATTTTAATGTAAGGTTGGATGTTTTTTTTACTGCTTTTAGGTGACAGGAAGTTTTTTTGTGTTTTTGTGATTTTGTATTGATGTTCTGTGATGTATGTTTTTCTTCTTTTTGATGTGACTGGGGGATCAAGTCTTGTTATTTTTGGATGGTGGAGAAATGGAGCTTTTTGGGTTATGTCTGTTGGGGGAATGTTAATCTTTCTGTTAAATCCTTATGTGTTTGCTCCCAGGTAAGTATGGTCATACTTTAGGTGATCTCTTTTTTAAAGAGATCAAAAGGGGGAATGTTGAAATAAGAATTTTAAAGTAGCACAATAGTACATAAGTTAACTTTTAGGTTAAGATAAACTTAGATACAGATCCAAACTGGGACAGCTGGTGACTCTCAGAACTTACAGAAATTCCTAATCAGAAAACAGTCTTAGACTCTTGAATCTCTTTCTCTTTACATAGGGAGCCTGTCTGCCAGGCAATTAACAAATTCCTGAGCATGGTTCAAAGTTCACTAGGATCTTAAAACTTTTTATAAATAATTTTATCTATATTAGAATTAACTATATTTTCTTTAAGCATGTTTTTAATTAGTTACTTATTAGATCCAAACTTATAGTCATTATTTAGCATTACATTGTGTGCAAGCTTGGTTAAAAATACAAACTACTTTCTTGTGAAAACATTTTGAGGCAGAGATAGCGCTGCAGCTGCACTCATATATCAAACTGGACAGCGGCTGGTACGAGAAGGGTTTTCCGTATATCTGCCTTTGGGGCTCTTTAGCAGGAGGTAATAAAATTAACATTGAGACAGCCCACACAAAGGAAAAGAACACACCTCCTAATGCATATATTTAAATGAGGAGAATACGCAGTCTATAAAAATGGTTTGTTTCACAGCAGAAGTTGGAATCTCTTTATGCCGAGTGAGAGTTTCCCGGAGGATGCATCTTCTGTAATTCTTTTGTCTTTTTTTTACTCAGTTCTTTGTCTTTGTTTTGTAATGTCTTGGACTTTTGCTCTAGGTGAGATGCTTATTGTAAAGTTCTTCTTGGATTGAATTTCTCTGGATAAAACTCTGAATATCTGAAGTCTGACGTCGTATGATTGCTCTTTTCTCTCTGCACACTTACACAGACACAGGAATTCGGGACAAAGAATTAATTAACGAGCTAAATCAAGTTATTCCTCTTTTTAATTCTTAACACTATACAAAACATTTGGATCTTTAATGGAGCGTTTTCACAGAGCCTCGCGTGGCATTTGGCTCAAAGGCCTGTTCTCACATTTAAACCGGATTAGTGGCTTTTTTTCCCCCCTGTGTAGTGAAAAGGGCCGGTGATGTGTTTGTGTTGTCCGCAGTGCAGAGGCGGAAGGAGGAGGGCTGTCAGGGGTTTCTCAGCCGCCGCTGCTGGAGGCTCGACTCCAGCCTCAGGCTGCAAACTTACTGTCCGTCTCTCACCACAGAACAGGAAGAGCCCAGCAACACGCTGAGCTCAGCCGCTGTGACATGACTTTTAACTGACTTTTAAATGTCTCAGTGAACATAAATGAAAAGACAATAAATGTTCAATTTAATCAGTATTAAGTAAGTTAATTTCCCCGCAAGACTTGCGTTTGTAGTGAAGGTGGCGGTCAGCCGCTGCCCTGTGGTCGGGAGTTGTTAGCATCCAGCATCCAGTTCAACATGAACACTTACCGACAAGCTGACCGCAGCACCTCCTGGGTCCTCTGGACTCTGTTACTATTATCCGCTCGTCATTTTGGCATCATTAAGGTCTCTGTAGATGGTTATTTTTCTTGTAATTAAAACAATTACGGTTAAAAAAGAATTAGCGCATCTAAAACTATTCCCATATGTAGATTTTGTTTTGTCCGGAACTATTTGTTAAATATAACTTCCTCCGTGACTGACGCTGTTCCGCAGCAGCATCCTTTGTCTTCAGAGTTATGTCTGTCTGTCTCGGCAGCTCTTTACCGGTTCAAGCCGGTATTCAAACACGAGCACGCGGGTCATGAACGCGCCGTTATATCGTTCTTCATTGCGTCTGTCTCGCTCTCACGCGCGCTCATCTTCAACGTGCCGCGAGCCGAGCTGCGGCTCATGTTGCGTTCACGTTAACATGAAAATATAATGTCTCACTCTACAAGAAGACCGACCGACCAACTGGAGCTTTTATCAGACACGAGGGGGGACATGGATGCTATTTCGCGTGTTTGCGTCCAAACGAGAACCAACTCGGGGATTTTTTTTTTATAATGTAGAAGAATGTAACTTATGAAATTTCGCGATTGAACTTGAAGGCAGCAGCTCCAGGTGGTGCGCGCGACAAAGCCCGGGCTGGGAGCGCTGCGCGGCGAGGATGGACAGGTTTGTTCCAGTCTGGAGGAGGTTTGGAGGAGGTTTGAGACAGTTTCCTGTTTGAGAAAGATTCCAGCCTGCTGCGTCTGTCTGGGTTGTTTAAAAAGATTCTGATATCACAAATTTATTTTGCATTTGAATGCAGCTATAGAAAACCAAAACATTTGATACATCAACTTCAGAACAGCAGAATGAAGTCAGGTATATCTAAAATGACTTGGGTTGTAAATATTAAGAACTTAATTCAATCTATTGAATAAATCTAAATGTATCAATATTTCTTGCTGACGCTTTTAGAGAATCCTTTCCTCTCTTGTTACTAGTTTGAAGCAAAGCCAGACAATATTCCAATAATAGTCATTCTGCAGGTTACTGGTGGCATCATTTTGTTTTAAAATAAGATTTTAAAATATTTATGCTGCTCTTGCCTAAGCTGAGTTTGTCCTAAAAGATGAGTGCAACGATTATGTAAGCACCCAGCCTTTAAAGAAATAAACACAAACACTCCCAAGTTTCCTTATGAGCAACTTTTAACTTTGCAAATTTTAATGCTGATGATGCATATTTGTACTAACTGAGCAGGTATTAACACGTCTGATGCAATTGACTTACCTTTTTGTCAGGTCACTCAGTGGCACTGCTGAGGAATGTTCACCAGCATGATATACCACTCTGAAAGAAGCAGGGGTGTGTCTAAGATAAGGCTGGACCAGGTCCTGCCCTAAATCGTAATAGGGCACCGCAGCACGTCTTTATCAATGTGAAAAAATCATTAAGATGCTGCAGGTGGCGCATAATGCTCACCAACGACATAATGCATTTTTAAAACAGAAACCACAGAGCTTTGAGTAGGTTTGTGACAAAAGCAAGTGACGTCTGCCTGAAACTTGTCTCATATGGTCTGAATGTCCCATGAATTATTCAAGGGGTGATGGATGGATTGACAGGCAGACAGATCAATGTCTGTTCTGTGTAGCCAATGATGCCACTATAGTTTACACACGTTCAAAGTCCAGCAGGCTACAGTGTCTGATTAAAAGACTTATGTAATCCAGCACTGACCGGATCCAGGAAGATGCAAAAAACATCTTAACCATTCTAGCTAATCTCTTCAAACCTGCTTTTTTCAAAGTCAACATTTGCACAAGTCTCATTTTTTCACCAGATATGTCCAACTCCCCGAAGATGTTTGATTTCATTCTATGCTGCGTGTTGCGCATTTCTTCTGTCAAGCTGTGTGTGAAAATCCAGCTTGCCAGAGGCGGCTCTCAGGGCGCCCGGTTCCAAACAAAGAAGAGAGCACCTCAATATGCAGCAGAAAGTCAAGTTTCTTCTCACTCTGCTGCAAAGATCTTTGTTTCTCACACAGCAAAAATGTTGGAGGTTTCAGAATAGAAACCAAACAGCCTGTGTGTATTGTCCCACAAAGAGGAAATTCACGTGTAACAGCAGCAACAGATTATCAGGTTCACACAAAGAGTTCCTTAAATGTTGCAAAACAACATATAAGAAAATAAGATTAGAAATAATGATAATATTGTACAGTTGTTAGAAATGGACATATAGGACTCATGAGCCAAGAGATTTGCAAATGGGTTGGATCACTTTTTCAAAAGTCTCCACAGTGTGCATGTATATTAAACAATGAAAAAGATAATGACAAGTTTACAATGCAGTTTATCGCATTGTAAACGGTGCAGAAGAACAGATGTTATTTTAGAAATGAGTAAAAAAAACAGAGCTACTGTTTGCCTTCTGTCCTCGCATGCTGTCTGTCCAGTTGGATGGATTCAGCCAACAACAGTGGCTACCTCAACTACAGATTTGTATGAAGTTGAGCAATTTCATGGCCGGCTTTGTAGGCTGCGGTCTACTAGTTGCTCGAGCATCGCAGGATGTCAGGACCTTGCAGCTTTCAGTTGAAAGCAGCAAAGCAGAAATGAGAACATGTCAGAAATGAAAGCAGTGGACTTTAGAGCTGCTGGAGCAGACAGTGGATAAGAGGATTCAGCAGGTAGAAACAGCTTACCAATCAAAATGCCAAGTCTGGCCTGGATGGGAAAGTTCTGCGTGGATCAAGGATATCCTATGAAACGCCCGTAGGGGAAATGTCTGTAATTAGGCGAGACTTCAGCTACACCCTGAACTCTGGAGAACACGACGCAGACAGAAATATCATGCCAGCAACTGCAAACTGAAGAACCAGTGCTGCTGCAATCAAAAGTCTGTGCAATACTTTGCCCCACTGCAGATAACAAGAACCGGGCAAAGTTAATTACTTTGAACACGTCACAAATGTCCAACCTCTGCCTGTATACCAGAGAAAAAACTGCTTTTTTGTTGTTTTTTTTTAACAATGGGACATCTTTAAAAGTGAAAATGTGCCCGAGAAAAGTATTCACCCACTTTTTGATATTTTACAGTTTTGTTACTTTTAGAAATCAATCATGATCAACAATTGCCTCTTTCTAAACAACAAAAATGTTTTAATGTCAAAGTGAACAATGTAAACATCCAATCACTGTATGTTTACACTATACAGTAAACATTCAGTTTACTGGGACAGTCTCTTACCAGAAGGGTTGACAGATCTGTCACTCTTTCTGGTAAGATATTGACTGTTTTTAGGTAATCCTTAAAGTCCCATTTTAAAAAAATTTTGGAAAATAGACAAGATTTTTGGAAAAGTCACAATCATCCATAAACTGATGAATTCAGTTTTATACATACAAAACAGGACAACTAGTTTGCTTTGCATAGTTTCAGTCATCTATTAGTTTATTATTTAGTTTCTTCTTTTTTTGGTCTTGTGCAATTAGTAAAATACATTTTACATTTACAAAAAAATATGAGGCACAACGAAACATACAGTACTTATCCGCCGTCTGAAGGTCCTCCAGCAGGCATACACAAACACTGGATGCATTCGATGAGAGGGACACTATTAACAATACGAACGTGATACGGAAACTGAAATGATAAGGCAAAACTAATTCTGCTACAATAACGCATGTCAACTGTATATTTGACAAGTCACGATAAAATCAAAGTTGTGGTTATATTTCCTACCAAGCATGCATCTCATGTTTCCAGCAAAGTCAGACGTGTTGGTCATTCAGCATCCCAAACTCTGTCCACTGGTTCAACTGGTAATTCTAGAGTAAACGCTTTTATTCTGATGAAATGACATCTCCGGGTTGTTTTCCTTGCTGCGTGGCCTTCAGGTGTTTCCCTCTTTTTATTTGCCTCCCTGAAATTCAGAGAACGGATTTGTTCTGTTCACTCAGCACTGGTCACCTCCAGACCCGCCGCGGCAAGAATGGATCTACAAAAAACACACAAACACTCGGTCGGCTTTGTCTGCATGTGCACGGCTCTGAACTCTTCAGGAAACACAAGTGAGCTTCCAATACATAAATAATCGCTTACAACATGTTCAGTGGAAACGAGAATTATGCATTCATTGGAACATTCGATGCTTGTGCCAAGGTGCACTTTTCAGAGACTAGTTCTCTAGTTATCATTACTTTGTAACTAGTAATTAAAATCCCTTTTCTAAAAAGCTTTGTTTCTGAACTCATCAAGAAAGTAGCCAAGTTGCAGCTGATTGTAGATATTTCTTACAATCAGCTGCAGTGAGTCTACGGCTGATAGTCAGCACTTCTGGTTGCTCACAGGAGGGAACTCGTTCTCGTCGTCCAGACACACCGGCCCCACAGCAAACTCATGCTCAGGAATCACGTCCCCTTGTTTCGCCCCGCCGTCTTCAGAGTAACCTGCAGGTTGGAGGAGACAGAGGAATCATTAACACTTTCCAGATCCCCAGAACTCAGACCTCACCACCGTACTGTCCCACGTTCGCCGCTAAATGACCACGGTTTGTGGAACTGCTGTTTCACGTGTCTGGAAGCTGCTTGGCTGTTTGGACAGGAAGCAAGTTTAGAAATGAAGGAGAATTCATAGAACATTGGAAACAAATGAATTTCCCTCATCCCTTTCACTGTTTGATGAATTATAACAAGCTTTAGTATTTTTGATTTTATGTCACAGACCCAAAAAAAAAGGAATGAATCATGGTGAAGGAGAAACTGATGTTTCTCACAGTTCTTTGCAAACAAGAATCTGAGAAGTGCTGAGAAGTACTTTTTATTTAAATCTTTAGGTTCTAATCAAAGACGAAACATTTTTTGCAAAAAAAAAAGTGGGAGGATAGATCTTCTATGGGATGTTCAGATTTGTAGAAACACGAAAAGAATAATGAATTTCCTCTAAAGTTTATATATTCACATCGAATGTCTCCAAATCCAAACTAAAGTCAGATCTCTTGTTTGGACTCACAATGTTGAAGCAAATTCTGAAAAAGCGCAAGGTTTCCAAAATGAATGACAAAAACAAAAGATCTAAAATAAACTCCTGGTTCTTTTGTGGATATTTAGTGCATATAATTTCATCCAAAAATAAGAAAACCTGCATTTATTGTTGTATCTTCATTTCAATATTTCAATTTTTTCTTTATTACCAGGAAAGGTATAGCAAGAATTCATCTTTCCTGTTCAAGTAATCAGCTTGATTTCAGAGAGTAAAAAATATATCTTTTTTAAATCTGTTTTTAGAAGATGGGTGAAGGATCTCCTTAGTATTTACTACTGATTCTTTTTCTTCTGGGTTTCTTGGGAGCTTGTCCCACTCTCTAACAGAGGCTTCCTGCTCACTTGACCTCTGATGCTACTTGTGTTACTTACTGCCATGTGACATGATGAAAACCATGGCAATGAGAGCGATACTGCGTGCATAAACAACAGATTGAGCTTCTTTTTTTTTTTTTTTTTTTTTCAAAAACAAACCGTTGTCCAGAAAAGATGATCCCAAAATCTCCAAGAACTCAAACAAACATGGGTGTGGGAAAGGAAGGAAGAGATCTCAGAACTTTTAGCCGGTAGAGGTAAAAAATATTAGATTTCTGTGAAGAAGCCGATTTGTGATTCAGACTCATCGACTCTGCATGGCTGCAGGATGTGTGTGATGCCTTCTGCTCAGCTTTAGAGTCTCTCCAAGAACCCCAGTCATTACAAGAAATATAGAAAAAAACTCTTTCTGCACAACACATCCATCTCCTGAGCAGCTTCACAATTGCTGCAAAGAAAGTAAAATGCTGGATTGAAGATGCACCGGTTGGACTTTTGGAGCCAATTTCTAATCTCCGGTATTTATATTTATAAGGCGTTGTCCAGCCACCACCAGACGTTTAGTCTGACTTTAACTTCAGGAACATAACAAAGGCAGACATGAGAAAAGCTGGCAGCGTTCGTCCAGTCTTCCTAAACCATCATTAATTATCAACAGATAGTAATTAGCAAGGAAAGCAATACTAATGTGGCAGCTAGTGCTCTAAGACACGCCTCCTGGCTGTGATTGGTTGTTTTTGGTCGGATCTGTTCACAGAGTATCTGTCTCATGAATATGATTACAGTTTCAACAAATATGGAAAAACATCATTTTGTAAGAGTTACACACTACAAGGTTTAAAGCTGAGGTAGGTCATGGTCCTTAACTAGTACAGTTGGTTACCACTAACCAGTGAGGGTGGCAGTAGCATGACCAGAAGCTGGTAAGGCAGCAGTTTCTGCATAAGATGGAGAGGAGTGTGTTTCCTGTGTGAGCTGCCCCCCCTCTGACTTCATCTCTCCACCGTGCGTTTCATCATCAACACCACAGAGCCTGATCAAACACACACACACACACACACACACACACACACACACACACACACACACACACACACAAAGGAGGAAACAGTCACAAGAAAGAAGTAACTACACATGAATGTCATGTGAGTGTGGTACATGTGGTCAGATGGATTTGGATCAGCCTCACCTGTGTTTGTAAGCCAACTGGCACTCGCCTCCATCCTGTGGATCCACGTTATAGATGAAGAGCTGGCCGTCTGCGGTGGCCACCAGCAGCCGCAGGAGCCTCTGGATCCTGAAACATCACCATGAGTTTCCATCCAAGACCCCACAGAAAAGGAGCAGCGGAAGCCAAGTACTTAGGATTAACCTCATGCAGAAAACATCGTTTCACCAGCTCCAGACTGGCCTGAAACATGTTGCGACACGTTAATCCGACTATCTACGCGTGTCTTCAGCTCTCACAAACATGGTCGTGTTAGAGAGGGTGAGGAAGAGAGAGGGGCTCACGTGACTAAGGTGCAAACGTTCCTCTGACCAGATGAGAGGAGGTGAACGGTAGCGAAAGCCCGGTCCTGGCTCATCATGCCAGAAACCGGAGCAGGGAGGTAGCTGCTGGCTGCAGAGAACATCTTCCCCATGTAGGCTGACCAGGTCGCCGCCTCGTCCTCCGCACTGGAGAGAGAGGACGACAGTTAGAGGTCCCCCAAAAAACATAGTTATTTAATTGTTAAAATGATCCTAAGTTTCCACTGTTTTAGCACTGATTATTTGGGCAGTAAAACAAAAATTCAAATAAAATATTTATTCCTGAGTACAAACATTAGAATTGTTGTTTCTAAATGAATACAAACTTGTTCTATTTCCATTATTTGTGGTCTGAAGGCATTGCTTTATTTATTTATTCTGTTATTTTGACCATTTCTCATTTTCTGCAAATAAATACTCAACTTTTGTTCATAAAATAAAAGAACAATGTTAATTTTACCCAAACATCTATAGATTTACATGTATATAGAGTGAAATCAGAGAAACGAGTCCTTTTAAGTGGTCTCTTTACTTTTTCCAGAGCCATATTATTTCTAGTTCTTTGTCTGATCAAAAGGAAGCCTTTTCTCTCTGCTGTTTCTAAAATGATCAATTCTTTCTGCTGAAGTCCTCACATAACGTTTTTTCTGCTGTGCGATCAGCTAAGCGAAGTGTGTGGCATTCTAATGAGGTCTGAAGTGCATAAAATTGGAACTGAATGCGTCTTTGTTATTAGTGAATATTGGAATGAATTGAATTTGCACAGAAATGGCTTTTATAGCACCAGATATGAACTGCAGCTGCTTTGTCTCGCAAATAATCTAAACTGAACGATAGGGAAGACCACAGCTCAGACAGAGACAAATGTTCCTTTCTAAATCTGGGCTACAATGTGGAAGCTAACAGTTTCCCAATATTTAGTCTGTTTAGTGTCTCTGCAGGCTCACCTTGGTCCCAGTTGTTCCAGTTTAAAGATGTGAACAGTCTCTGTGTTGCTGGAGGCACAGAGGAACTGGGCATCCGAACTGAAGGATAAGGAGCTTATGTTGACATACCTGCAGAAAAAATTGATTATTAATGGAGAGCTGGGGGAGCAGCTGTTAGGGAGGAAAAACTCCCAGGTTTGATTCCCAGTCTCTGCACATCTTCCCATCCCCCCATTTCCTGTCAATGTGTTGATCGATAAATTCCAAAACATCCAAAACACATCTATCATCATCATCATCATCATCATCATCATCATCATCATCATCATCATCATCATCTCATCATCATCATCATCATCATCATCTTCATCATCATCATCATCATCATCATCATCTTTTCTCAGCAGATCTGTTCATCATCCTCCACTCAGTCATTTGCTCTGGAGCTGGATCGTTGCTGGTCATCATAAGGCATTCCTGTTCATTCAGCAGCATGAGGAAATGATCTCAGCACTATGTGCATCTAAAGTGATGTGGAACAGCGCTGACCTCTTCATGCCTCTGCGGAACTCAAATAGACGCTCGCCGTCAGGAACGGAGAAGACTCGGATCACGGTCCCCTGCAGACAGACAGACAGATGCTAAGCTTGTCATTTTCATTTCTTTTTTTTAAACACAATGTTAGCTAACGTTTCAATAAGGGTGCAGACAAGCAGAAACATTCATCATCTCAATCATATATTCTGGCGATATGAAAATTGCACCTGCTTGGCTTCAACACTTGTTAGAGTTCTATATTTCACTGGGATTTGGATTCACATTCTGGTTTTTGGGTTTTTTTTTGTTCAGTTTTCCTTTTTTGTTCCAATGTTTTTAAGCTTTTGCTGTTCTGAAAATGGAGTACGTCAGATGAGGAAAGTTTTGAAACGATGGCGGTGAGGTCACAATGACGAGGGCCTGTTGCTAAATGGGCGTAGCGGTGCGCTCAGGATGAATCCAAATCTCCATGCTTGCCTCACGGAGCTGGACGAGGTGCTAGCGTGGGTGGGCTCACCTTCTCCGAGGCGCTGGCGAGTTTCGTGGCTGAGGCGTTGAAGGCGAGCGCCGCCAGCGGACTGTCATGGGCCGGGATGGTGGCCACTGTGCTCTGAAATGAAAGCAGCCGTTACGTCTCAGGAAAAGACCCTCGTGCTTTTGAATGCACACAAACAAACCTGTGTGAAAAGGTTTTAAAACCCCCGAAAACAAAGCTGCTGTGTAATGTAGAGTCATAATTTCCCGCCGAAATTCTTTCGAAGAATCCAGCCTGTAATTTAATTATTTTTTAATTAACATTTTCTCAGTCATCCCATGTCCAGAATATTTTTGCGGGGGGAATTTTTTTGTGATTGCATGTTTCCTTTTCTAAACAGAACAAACGTACAAATACAACAATCATACAGATAAAACATATGCCAGCAACAATCCAAGCAGAACCTACATTATCCTATTTATTTCCACTCAATCACGATTACAGTTGGTTCTTTGTTCTGTATAAGGTCCAGTGAACAGAGGAAGAGGCGTCGTGTGACCCTTCAGAAAACCTCTCTGTTGTACTTTCCAGGAATGGACTTGCAGGGCTTGTTTTGGTTCCTGCTGTCTGTTATCTTACAGTAACAGGAACGCTCTGCTAGATTTACACCGGCTCCAGGAGGAGCAGCCGCGGGACAAAAGGGTTCGGGTCACAGGACAAACTGTTGCAGACAAACACGTATCTAAGCACAGAGAGAACTCCAGATGAGTTGGAGCAAAACATGCTTGATGATTGATGTTCAGGCCAGGTTGAAATGTCTCACTACTAATCATGAAAGAGTTCAAGTTTTACACCAACTCTTCGCTCAAATAATTATGACTCCTGCTGGCAGGAAGTTTACAAAAAAATCAGAAAAAAATCAGAATATTGTTCATTTCAGCTCTTTCCAAAACCTGGAGATCAGAAATCAATCAGAAATGATTGGTGCATTATTACTCTGCTACTGAACCAAATGATTAGTGAATTCCTGAGCACAGCATTCAGTGTACGTTCTGCGCTGACACGGCTCTTACCAAACTGTTGGTGTCATGTATAATGATGTCCCCAGACGCGACGCTGCCAGGATACGCCAGGTAGGAGCTGGACTGATTGGTGGACAGAGCGCAGAGACCTGCAGGAGGCCGGGACATTTCCAAACACCGTTTCATTTCACACAGTCCTGAAAAGCTGATCAGGTTTACACTTCAAAATGTAAATAACATGGCAATGAGTGGAGATTTGGAGAGTCATTTTCAGTTTGTCTTTCTTTAAGCTAAAGAAGGAAATCAAATATTAGAAATGCTCTCCCCGTACCTGAGGGGTTGGACGGCGTGTCCAGCAGAGTCTTGAGAAGTTTCATGTCTTTAATGTTGTGGACATAAATGGACTCCTCGAGGAACACCACCAGCCTCTGTAAGACACGTTCAAGAACATCGTCCACCGAGGAGAGTCTCAGATATCTGCAGCCTGTTGCTCACATTTCCAGAGAAACCAGAGGGAGAGCGTCTCTACATTCCAGAGATTACGTTTCTGTCCACCAGGAGCCAAAAGTTCCCACTAACAACACAAACTCTGTCCTCTTTTGACCCAAAGAAGTGAGTGACAATAAAAAAAAAGCATCATATATATTCACATATTATTTCTCGGCTGGTAGATAGTCTGCAAGAGCAACAATCACGTCTTCTGAATGATCTGCTGCTCTGTCCTGACATCATGCTGCATGTTTACCAGAGATATTCAGACGTTACTTCTGTTTGGGAGACTTAGTGACAGGATTTATTGTTTTTAGAGCCCTCTCCAAACGATCATTAACAACTACTGAGAGTATGATCTGTGAACATATTTGAAGTTCTTTCCACAGATTCTCGGCATTATGTTGCCTTCATGACGTCGTTTGTTCTCTTAAAAAAAAAACAAACCCATCTGAGTCTAGAAACGGGACAGTTGCAGTTAGAACGACTGCTTCTGATGAAAAATCCCACAGGGACCTCAGCACTGCCACCTGCAGCTGTGGGGGGAGGAAACGGCTCTAGGGAAGATCACGAGAAAATGTGGAGTTACGCTTCATTTGTCTGCTGAGACACTGAAGCTCCTTATCTGCTTCCTGCCAGTTTGAGACGTCAGTTTTGACCTTTAGAGATTCTTCCAACAACGTGATGAGCAGATGAACAGTCTGCACACAGCCGGTCTCAAGCCGTGTAAATCATTTCCTCATAAGGACAAACACTTATTTTAATATGCTAGGGTAATCCAAAGTAATCCAGGATTATGTAAATTGTTAAAATGTTGATTCTTTTGTATATTATGCAGAAATATTCTACTTTCCAAGAACAAGACTTATTTTCCTCATTGAAGGACTTTGTGCTGTCAGCTTTTCTTTGCCAGGAAAACCGTTTGACCCACTCTGATTTGTATCTCAATCACATCTAAGATATTTATTCCATCTCTTCTTCTTCTTCTTGGGTCGACCTCATATGAGGTTGCTGACTGGACCAGCAACCTCATATAAGGGAGTTTGAGAACCTTAAGTGATCTGCAGAAACCTGCTCCATACCACAACCCTTATTGTTGTTTAGTTCTTGAACATAAACTTTTACATCAATCACATCGCAGAGTATTTGCTCTTTGCTCACCCTCCGGTTAGAATAAGCAGCAAAATGAAGCTGAAGGATATTAAACAAAAGCTAAAAAACAGGAGCGCGTCTGTAATCAGAACTGTGACAATAATAATAATAATAATAATAATAATAATAATAATAATAATAATAATAATGGAGGAACTGGGTTCCAGACTAAGAAAGGAATTCAAATAATTGACTTGAATTCCTTTCATTTCTACACAGCTTACTAGAAATGAAAGCAGTGAAATCTTAACTAAAATAATATGTTGGGTAAAGACTGAAACTCTAAATGTTCTTTTTTTGTCTATCAATATTTTCAGTCTACAAAAGCATCAACCCACACTTTGACGGACTTTTTTTTTTTTTGTTATTTTAAACGCGACTGACAGACCAGGAGCTGAAACGGTGCGAGTCACCTGTCTGTTGAGCTTGACGGATAGGATGCTGCTGGGGTAGCTGTAGTTACAAATTTCCGTGCCTTTCTTGAAGTGATAGATGTTCATCCGCTGCGGCGTGGCAGCACTCACCACCACCACCAGACTGCTGGAGAACAGACGCTCCACGATGTAGACGTCTGCAGTGTTCGCTGGAAAACAACACAGAGCAGAGATCTTCTTTCACCATCTATCAGACGTGACCAGCGGATCATCCTGGGTGACTTGGCTTGACATTCTGGATGCTGGACCTTCAGTTTAAAGTATGTAGTTTTTATAAAAAATATGTTTTTTTTACATATTTGTTACGTTTATCATTTTGACGTAGTATTATATAAAGCAGATCATCTGTTAAAAGAACTGAACTCCTCTGCCTTTTCTCGGTCCTCCCAGCACAACTGCAGAAATACACAGTCAGAAGCAACCAATCAGAGCCAGGAGGAGAGTCTTAGCACTGTCAATCACCCTCATTTACATGCCGCTCACACCCTACCTCTGCTACACTATAGCTGGCTCACCAAACAGCCTGCCATGTGAATGCTAAGGCTAGTTAGCGTAGCTCCTGATGATTGAAAAGGCAAACTGAACGTTAACCACGGAGGGAAGCTAGGTCCAGACTGAGCATCGGTCACTGACCGCTCTCATGGATGCAGTCCAGTTTTTCCACCGAGGTCAGAGAGAAAAGCTGGTAGCCACTCCTCGTTCCCAACGCCAGTGACCTGCAACACACACACAGCCGTTAGACATCCAAACTGGTTCACGCTGTTCAGTCTGACCATCACAAAAGCAATCTGGTGTAGCTTATCAAACTCTAAAAGGATTTGAACTGGAGAGGACTGCAGTGACAAAACACGCCATGCTGGACATGGTGGAGGGTCTGTCATGCTGTGTAGCTCTTATAAATGAAGTGAGGAATCCATGCACAGCTGGTTCAATTTCACATAAGGGATTAGATGCCCTTTTGTTTCAAATCCAAACATAAGGGTGGGAATTCAACAGGTTCTATGCGTCTGTTCATGGGAGCTGAGCTGGTAATCAACTCCAGCCCAACTTACAGCAGCAGCTTCATAATGCTGACTCATGATTACTGCACTCTGTCTACATCAGGTAACTACACTAACAGCCTTATGATGTGGTGAGCCACCATTATGCTGCCAAAAGAGCCTGGATTCATCAAAGTCTGAGTCAAAGATGCAGTGGATGGTATCGGTTCTGGAAGCCGTTAGGTTCAGACTCAGAAACATCCCACATATGAAGGGGCGGAGTCAGGGAGCCAAGCTTTTGGTTGCTCCCATGGAGAGAAGTGACCAGTCGTGTCTCATTGGAATAAACAGTTCCCCTCCAAAACAGTAGGAGGCAGAAGTGATTAGGCAGAATATATTTCTCCAAAGTGGCTCTGGGGCTGATCAGTCCCTGGCTGCCCTATGAATGTTTTTCTGGCTCCGCCCCTGCACAGATAATCCATTGGATTAAAATTCAGAGACCTTTTCTTCTCAAATTATTCCGCAGCCGGAAATGATCACCGTTTCTATAACATGCACGCAATCTGTGACATGTCTGAAGGTTTCAGGAAAACGCAATAATTTGCCACATTATAGAATATTCCGATAATAATCATATTATTACATGTTCTAAGACCTTTATTTCCCAGAGCTTTCTGAATTTGCTCTCTCAGCTCCATATCAGACAGGGAAGTAGCATGCAGCCTCCATACTGTCCTTTGTTATGTGCAATGTTGCACATATTGATATTGTGATGCTGATGCTCTACATACTGAGCTGCAGCTCTGGTCCATCTCAGCCTGATGCAGGTCAGTCTTTCTTACCTCCACCAAAGCTCTGAGAACAAAATGTCCCCCCCAAAAAAGCAGGGGCCACCATACCGGAGAGCTGGTCATGGTGAGCAGATAACAGAAGAGATTCACCTCATCTGTCGGTGGTCGTAATGTTTTGCCTGTTCTGAGTACATTCTGTGGCCGAGAACAACACAAACTGAGCAAACATATGGAAGGATGTGGGAGTGTTTAGGCCCACAGCTTCACTTCCAGCCCAAATGCTGATAAACTACCGACTGGTTCGGTAACTGGGACCGCTGGGTTCGGTGGGTCGGAGGTACCAGCTGGTTCTAACGTCAGCAAAGAGAAGAACTCGTCGGTTGTGGACAGACTTCAGCCACTCGTCAGCTGAAAGTAGCTATTTCCGTGGACGGGTCTTCGGATGACTCATCCTCGCGCGAGCCGCTTGCTTACGTGGAGTCTTGGTTGAAAGAGGCGCAGCCGAACTGGCGGCGGCGGCCCGGCTCGCCCGCTCCGTCCGCGCCCTCCATCCCGCTTCCCAGCTACCTCTTTCCCCCCCTCCGGACTGGACTGGAGGCCCGGGATCCGTTTCACCGCTTCCCTCGATGTCTGCGGCGGAGGACGGCTCCAGCTCAGAGGGGAAGTGGAGCGGCAGAGGAGTGAGGAGGGACAGGGGCCCGGCTGGAGGCTCTCGCCGGGCGATGAACGCTCAGATTCGGTGTCGGAGCGTTTCTCTGGTCGGGTCGGACATCCACCGCCCGGAGGAAAATAAACTGGAGCACAAACAAGAACAGCTGACGGAACTACGTCACCCACACCCCGATGGTGATTGGCTGAAAGTGAACCCGCGTTGTCTGGAGTTTGACTTTGATTGGTCCAGGGGTCGGTAGTAGGTTCCTATTGGCTGAGGGAACTTTGTTTGCGGCAAGTTCATACAGTGACGTTGTGCAGCCTGATGACGTTCCGTTCAGAGGAAAATATGACATTAAAAAAGTGTTTTTTGACTGAATAAAGATTTCTCAGAGGACTGGAACAGAATTAGAACATTATATATGATGGTTATTAATAATATCTTTACAAAGTATTTCACCACTATCTTTCTCCTATTTCAGCAGGTTCTAACCACAAATATTCATCTGGTTTACTCACTTTACGTGGTAGGGCAACACAAACTAGGTGTAGCTAAAAGAAAATATGGATGGCTAAATTTCTTTACAAAAAGGAAAAGAAATCTGAAAAGTGTGGGGTGCATTTTTAACCAGCATTAATTTATTACTAATAGCCTTCAACATAACAAAGCTGAACAACTGCATTCCAAAACAATTGATCTCTACCTTGAAGCTCCAATGTGGTGGACAATGACAAAATAAATCACTACAAATAAATCAGGTTGAAACATTGTCATGCATGCCTAAAACGGTTTATCAATAAGACAAGAAAAATAAAAATCTTACACAAGCAGTAGAATAATTGAACTGCGCCAAAAACATTGTTATTTGACTATATAATCAATCAAAAGCTGAAAACAGAAAACCAGAGCTGCAGCAAAGACTCTGAACTGTTCTCTTCCTGTTGAGGACAATCCCTGGCTCTCCTCTCCACCAGCAGGACGTCACCTGCAGAGTCACTCAGATTCATTCTCCATCATCTTCATCATTGCTATGATCAGCCGGTGTCAGGATCCAGAGTCACATCCACCACAAACCTCTTCATTAGAGACGTGAAGACCTGAACACCTTCTGCTTTCTCTCAGTCTGCAGCATCTTTGCTGATCTTCACAGACTCTCCGATCTCCTGGATCATCAGTCGTTTCTCTCCTGAACTTCAGCCTCCGTCTTCCTCAGCTCTTCCTTCTTTTCTTCTGATTCTTTTCTCAGGGGAACAAACCCGTGGTCCTTGTGGTTTAAAATGGGACAGAGCAAGCAGACGCATATCTGTCTGGTCCTTCAGAGCAGCTCTAGAAGTCTACCACCTTTCAGTCTACAAGAAAAAGCTCAAACTTCCTGTTTGTAGAAACAGCAAATCAGATTTTTGCTGTACTCACCAGCATGAGTTTATTGTTGAGAAGAAACACACTAAGTTAAGTCTTCAGACAGAAACTGATTTTCTCCACAGCAGCTCAGGAGTCACTTTGGCTGAATATTACTTTCATTTATGAAGAGATACGTTTTAATATCATGACTCACCAGATAAGGAAAAGCAGGAGCTGAAAATTTATGCAGCAACGCATTTTATGTTAAATGTTTTCTAGTCATTTTTTATAAACAGGTTTTCACTTTGACATTAAACTTTTTGTGAATGCCAAATTTTGTTGGTCATTTGTAAACGCAATTAAAAGGAGTTATTGATTTTGATAGATGGAGTTTGTATAAAGAGCCAGCAGGGCGTGTTTCATGATGGAAGTCCTGTCTTTTTGTTTCAGTCTTTCCATTTTTAGACTTTTTATTAGTTTCTCGAGCTCTTGTAGGGACATCAGTCCTCTAATTCTGGAAATGTTCTCGGGTGACAGAAGGCCGACTTTGTAACCGCCTTTATGTTGCTCAGACGGTTCAGGTCAGAGTTCATCACTATATCCAGCCTGATCACTAGTTTCCAGCTGTAATAGCTGACGCTGTGTGATGACTCTGGATCATTCCTCTGCAGGTCCAAAGATAAAAACTTCTGTTTTGTTTCTGTTCAGCTGGAGAAAGTTGCGGGAGAACCATGAATTGATGTATATAAAGTAAAACGTAAAGCTCCTGATGGCTCAGCTGACGGTCTGCGCTGAAAAGTGTTCTGAGAAACCTTAGCTGTGTCTGTGGTTTAACAGCCATGTGCTCACCATGCGTTACCATGGTTGCTTGGTGAATACGTACCACACCAAAACTTGGTACCTTTAACTGTTTATTTAAAACATAATCTATTCATAGAAAATGTTCATAGGTGTGTGTGAGCTCTCTTGGAGTACTGTACAGTACCACAATTAAAAAATAACCCACATCTTGTTCATATTCATGTTCCATCTGAGGGCGGCTGCAGCATTAAGCAGCAGAAATAAAGTCACTGTTCATGGATCCTCTGGTCACGGCGAGGGATTAAAACTTGAAGGCTTGGTGTTGGGCCATGGGGGGAGAACCCACGCCGTTGGGGCTGCAGATGTTGGAGTCGTACGAGCTGGGGGTCAGTCCAAGCACGCCGTCTCCGTGTGGCGTCTCCCCACTCAAGAAATCGTCTTCATCCTCCTTCAGGGCCTAAAAGAGATGGAACAACCACCATCAGGAAAACCCAGACTCTTTCCCTCTTTGGGCTTTTACTCTGAAAAACCATTCTAAAGTTGCTGCCGCAGAATTGCGCAAATTGAAATTAAGAGAATAAATCTGCTTAACGGAAACATCAATTTTAAAGATGACACAAAAAGTTTTTGCTGGGATGAGGTGGTTTTTAAGTTGTATTGAAATAGATGTATTTTGCAAATCTACAATGGAAACACTTTTTTTTTTGCATCACATGAATCACATGATCAACGGCTGGATGTTACTGGTGAAAATGACAAAGGCAACAGGAAGTGGTATTAGTATGACGGTTCGTTTTTGTTTTTCAGACAACGTGCAGTTGGCTCCACCAGAGCTCTCGCATCACAATTCAGAAAATGTCTCATTCCAACATGTTGCATCCAGGACGTAGGCGGGTCTTATCGCTCCAATGCCTGAATAAGACGCCAAAGTCTCCTCTGATTGGCTGAGAGATGATCGGTTGAACAGACATATGAATGTATCTCATATAACTGTTTACATTTATCACTGCCATGAGTTTTAATAACTTATTTCACTTACTTATTCACTTGTGATTTCAATTTCATTTCTTACTTAATGGAAACACTGCAATTGCAAAGCTGGGATTTTTCAGCAATAGCAGAATATCGGCAAAGATTTGCACACATCTGTAATGGAAATGCTGCCAGTGTTTTTCATCAGAAGACAGAATAGTGTGATGAAAAAGAGTTGAGCAGGATAACTTTCCTGCAATGATTCTGAAAGGATTTTGAACATGAACACAGAAATCGTCCAGAAATAAGATTCATGTACGATAACCTTGATCCAGGAGCGAATCGGAAAAACTGCAAACGAGTTGACGGCAGGTCTTTGACACAGTTTGAAAACAGCGGTAACTTGAAGAGCGAAGATGAAACAGGAGGTGAATGCGTCAATCAGCCAATCAGCTCACCTGTTGAGCTGTTTTGGGAGGAAGCAGATCAGTTTCTGCGAGGTCATCCCAAGCCTGATAGAGTGGTTCAATCAGCTGACCAGACCTGCACACACAGAAACAAATCCCTAACATCAGAGACGATGTGAGCGCTGAGTTAACATGCTGATGTCTGTCCTGATTGGCTCATCATCACCTTCTACTCATCATTTATTGGTCAAATCGTTGCCGTTTCGTTTCCTCTGGTTCTGGATGCTGTGCAGCCGGGAGGATTTTTGCTCCGACATTTTTTACTTTCATACGGTTGATATGCTGTGTAACCGTGGCAACGAAGCATTCTGTTTACAATTGGGGGATACTAATTATTATCTGAAAAGCTCAAGTAATACGTGAACTATGACCCCGTATCACAGAGGAGTTGAAAAGGAGGCCTTGAGACAGAGATTGAAAGAGAAGCAGCTAGAGCTAATGAGGTGGATTAGCAAAGCTATAGCTAACACCTGATGGAATATCAAATTGCTGACTGGATATTGAGCTGCAAGCATGTCATACACCAACACTAACTGCTACTGGAGATCGTTCCTGCCCACAGTGTCACCATACAAAAAGAAGACTTTATTCAACCCTATAAGTTAAATAAAGAATTTTTGAATTTTAACCAACTACAGTTTGCAATTCCAGATCTGTGCTATTGGAGTAGAAAGACCAAGGAAGTTGTGTAGTCACTTCCAACAGAGGAAAAAGACAGGAGAGGGTTTTTAGAACATTTATTTGTGCAGAGGAAGTTTAGGAAACTGGGTGGTTCTGGCCTCTGAAGGAGAATCAGAGAACCTGCATGAAACCGGTCCTCCTGTGTGTTCTGATATATTTATCCAAAACCTAAGAACACACTCAGCACATAGGGAGTTCCTCCTAAAACCCTGGATTACCCAGCTGGTGTACCGTTTGAGCAGGTAGGGGTCAAAGGGGAAGAAGCTGTCCAGAGGGTTGGTGTTGGTGATCACTCCGTCTCCTCCTGCAGAGCTGCGGACCACCGGCAGCACCTGCCTGTTATTCCTCTCTATGATGGTGTAGCAGAAAACCACCTGGTACTTCCTGCAACACAGACACAGGAGACAATGCAGAGCTCTGCTTCTTGGAGCTTCAGTTTGCTTTATTTTACTTCCTTATTAACTCTGCACCAGTACAGCACATTTATTCATACCAACAGCTTCAGAGTCTCAGGCAAACAAGAAAAAACAACTTTCATTTGTTCAGTCAGTGCAAGTAGGAGTAAAACAGCCAATGGGAAATAAATAATAATAGAAATTCTTAATATAATGTAAAATAAATAATGAAGCATGACATCACTCAGAGCACAAAGCATAGAATTACAGTGAATAGATTTGACCTGATTGATCGTACACATTGTCAAGCTATCCAATCAGGACTGATACAGATATTAATATTGGATCGGTTTATCTCTAGTTGTAATGTGAGAAAGTGTGAAATGATTTGAAGGGGAGGTTGTGTCTGAGGAAGCTTCCACCATCCATGAATGTGTGTGTGTGTGTGTGTGTGTGTGTGTGTGTGTGTACCTGGTGATGGCTGCGAACATGCTGGTGACTGAAGGCAGACATACTTTGAGTGGATTCAGCTGACACATGACCAGCCGCTCCAGGTTCAGACTCTGTAGATACTCCAACCCTGAAACCAGAGAGAGCCGGAAAGGGGGCTTGAGCTCCTGTCCTGAGCCGTGCAGGTAATCCCCCCAGCCCCCCAGATGCTGCCACCTTTCTTCATGTTGGCCTCCAGCATGGCTCTGTGTCTGAACACCAGGGTGTAGAAGACGGCCTGGCAGGCGGCGTAGAAGGGTCCATGCAGGCTGATATCGCAGCAGACCTGCCGGCCGCTGCTGTCCTGGTTGTCGATGTAGGCGTGGATCCAGGTGAGCAGCAGGTCCAGACACGCCCTGACGGTGCTGAGAGGACAAGAGGACAGGGAGTCAGACCCCCGCTGCAGAGCTGTCTCAGGATCATCAGCTTCTGGTCAGGGACCTTTTTGAAGATCCACAGACTACATGCTACGAAATATGCACAGAAACCTACAATGGTTTTCTTTTTATTCACTACTCAATAGTTATTAAGTGTGCTTAGCATAAATGCTCTCGTGGTATTCTGCAGCAAGATCCTTCACAGCAGCTGCTGGACGGATCCTTCACTCTTTTTCTTGACAAACCTTTCAGTTTCTCGTTTGCTATGGAAGCTTGAGGAGCAAAGGAGCTTTAGTTTGACAGGCAGCTAACCAGAAAAATGATCACATTTCAATAAGTCAATGAAACCTTTATTTTATAATAATGATTGAAAAACAAATAAGATTTTATGATTAAAAAGAATCATAATGAATTTATGAAAAAACATCCAATTCTTTTGCTTTTGCATTTTTCCCTCATCTTCCCTCCAACTCCCTGATGCGCCTCTAGCGCCCTCTGGTGGCCCACACTTTGAGAAACCTTGTAGACTCACAGAACAGGGACGAACTTGGCTCGAGCCATGAAGCTGCCCATGTATCCGGCTGCGGCCTGGCGCAGGATGGCGGGCTGCGTCGGGTTCTGCAGAACCTTCCACAGGTGATCGAGGAAGGCCTCGGCCAGAGCCTGGATCAAGGGACACAGACACACACACTGCAAATCAGACAGAGGACGGGCAGGACCACGGCCCGTATCCCATCCCGGCATACTGACCAGTTTGAAGCTGCAGAGGTAAAACAGCATGTACTGCACGTGACCGGAAGCGTGAGTCGGCAGAATGAGCTTGTCGAACACACTCAGCAGGTCTTTGTAGAGTTCCTTGGTTCGTTCAGCGTGAAACGAACCTGGAAGAGACAGAGCAGTGATCCGGTCACCTGACCTGGACCCGCAGAGACTCGACTGGACTTCAGAGAGATGAGCGGAGAACCGCAGATGTAAATGAAACCTAGAGATGTTGGTGTTATGAATTTCGCGCACTGCCAACCCACATTTTCTAAGATGAATTTAATACACTTTAAGGCCTTGATTTTAGATACTCTTTAAAGACCTTGAAACTGTCACTATGTTGTGACATTAAGGTATGTGCAGATAAGAAAAAATAAATAAAAGATTGAGCTGCTCCTTCTTCTCCCAGTACTAACTAGAAACACCCAATCAGAACCAGGAGGCAGGTCCTAGCGCTGTCCATCAATCTCACGTGAGCGCTGATCATCCCACCTCCCTGTTGCTCTCTTTTATCATGAATGCTGTTCAACTCCTCACCAGGAGGAAGGAGGGCCAACAGGACAACAGAAACAGAGGATTTGGGTTTTAATATTAATGTTTCTTTAAAAATATAATGTTTAAAGTGTTTGATGTATATCTCAGAGTGCTGTGTGGGAAAAGAAAATCACAATTTTCCAAAGGGATTATTAAAGTCTCTATCCAGCTATAAACTGATTTTCTGTAACAGTAAGTTGTTTCTCTGCCATTAGCAACATTTAGCAGCAAGTAAATTGGGGTTGAGTGTTTTTGGTTGGTGCATTTCTTCAGACAGTAGCAGTGGAGGAATCAATGTCATCTCATATCACACTGTCAAAACAAGGTGACAGATTAAACAAATTAAAAGTTACATACAGCAAGTTTAAGGTTGCGCTGACCCACGGTTACCCTTGTCATGTATTGTGTGTGTGTGTGTGTGTGTGTCAGTACCATCCACATTGCAGACGTCTCTAATGTAAGCCATCAGAACAACCATGAGTGTGTCCAGTCTCTCAGCCACTGGGTGGGCCATCATGTTGGTCCGATGCGGCTGGTCTGCAGTCATGTCCTCATCCTCACACACACACACACACACACACACACACACACACACACACACACACACACACACACACACACACACACACACACACACACACACACACACACACACACACACACACACAGAAAATACTCACTTTTAAGTTTTCACAGCCCTTGAACTTAGAGTTTAAAGGCGTCAGCAGCCTTTAAACTCTAAAAGTAATATTTTCACCTCATTACTAAAATGACCAGAGGTGACACACAGCCAGGCAGCAGAATGGGTCCAAATCACATCTGTTCACATCTGTCTCACTGTATCGAGTTTTTATCTGGTTCAAGTTGTTAAAATCCATCAGGAAGGTAAAATACGAGACGGGATGAGAGGATTAGAACTCAAATCTATTCTCAGAATCACTGAGTTCTTCAGTTGGATCCTGAAGGACTGTTTTAGATTGTGTCAGAAAAAATAAAAATAAATGAGTGATTAAAAGTGTTAGTGATAACACAAATATGATAATTAGTAACTAATAAGATGAGCTACTTGAAGGCGATTCTAAATAAATTAATTAATTAATCTTGGTACCATGTCAAAGAGTCCCTCCTCAGGCTGGTTCTGGTTCTCCTCTGCCTCCTCAATCTCTGCCCTTGATGCGCTGACCTGCAACACACACAGCAATCACTCAGATTTACACATTAGATTTTTTGTATACATCATTATTTTAAGGTTTTAAAAATATATATATTTTTTTTATTTGCATATTTTATTGTATTTCTGATACTGTATGAAAAAATCTTGAATGCTAAATTTGCAGAAGGCGACAAAAACATTTGTTTGATCTGATTAATTGTTCAAATAATTGATTATTTTTGATTAATTGAAAATAATCAATTAATCTAATGACTAAATAGTAATTAATTGCAGACCTATAGTCAACAAGCTTAGAAAACCAAAAAAAAATAAATAAAAAGCCCCGTGACAGGCTCCCTCCCGACATTAACCTTTGACCCCCCGGCCTCCAGGTCAAGTCCCTGGTAGGACTGCAGGACTCACATCCAGTTTGAGCAGCTGCCCAACGATCAGCTCCAGCACGTCTCGACGGATGGATGGGATGTAGACGGTCAGCCTCAGCAGGTTGTGGACGTAGCATTCCTTTAAGGAGCAACAAGCCGTCAGTGAAGCTCCATGCTGCTCATCAGGAGCAGCTGTGGGGCGTTCTTACCAGAGTTCTGGGGGATTTCTGGACAAAAGGGAAGCCGTTTTGGAGAACGGGCATGAGGAAGCGACTTGTCCTAAGAGAAACCAAAAACAGACAGGAGGTCAGGCTTTCAAAGTAACTATTGGAACAAGATCTACGTCTGGATTGTGAAATGTTTTCTGTTTTTTGTCCTCTCAGAATGTTGGCTCATCAGCAAAGGAAACAAGAAGCTGGTCAGAAACCTACGAGGGAACGTATTTGATGATGAGCTGCAGCGCCTGGTGACAGAGGTCAAAGTTTCTGGGGAGGTCGGCTGAAATCAAAGCAAAGCCAGAGTGTCAGGCGGTTTCGACTGCTGACTGAGAACCACAGCAAAACGCCGCAACACTCACTGTCCTCCTCATCTTCTGAATCAGAGATATCAACTCCTCCCTCACAGATGGTCACCCGCTCTGAAAAACAGACAACAGTTTGTCCTTAACGGCTAGCCGCAACATCTGACGAACCGGCTGGCCAGCGGTGAGCGGCTTACTGGGAGTGAAGTGGGACACCACCATTTTGAGGCAGGCGCATAAATACACGGTCTGTGCTGACACCAGGTTGCTGAGGAAGGCCAGGAACTCGTCCACCACGGCCTGGCTCCGGCCCACCCACGGAAGCCTCTGGGAGGGGAATCACATGAAAATCCAGTTGTTGAAATAATCGTCAATTAATTTACTAATTGGTAAATCGTGACTTGGACTATAAAGACTAAAAAAAAAAAAAAAAAAAAACATCCATTTGCTGAATGAAGAACACAGTCAGAGCATTAACTAAACCAAAACTGTACAAAAGTATATACATTCTGAATTTGAGATAAATAAAAATAATTCTCTGTGTGTAAACCCAGAACTTAAGTGGCACAGTTTTAGCTTCATCTGGCTAAATTATGTCAATAAAATCTCTTAAACACTCTTTACAATATAATTATGAATCAATTAGAGAGACACTAGCACATAACATGACAATTATAGTGGCACTTTCTAGTGTCAGCTCCCACGACTGCTGTCAGCTGTGACATATGCCATGGCTTTTGTGGCAGATTGAATAGTGAACATGAATATGTTTAGTAAAAAGAGGAAAATAAAATACAAATATTGTAAAAAGGAACACACTGATTCGGGTCAGGCTGCTCACCGGTTCGCTGTATTCTTTCAGCTGCAGCTGAATCCTTTATTACTAATGATCAAATGTTCACTAAAGGAATGCTATCATTGTGAATCTTGCAAAACTTGATTTTTTTCTATTTACAAAATATTTATAGGCATCATAATGAATTTACGTTCATTATGCTTTAGATAGAAAAATCAACGGAATCCCTCAGAATAATCGATTACTAAAATTAGTTGCAGCTCTACTATAAATAACAGTACTATAAATTCAGACACCAGCTATTAGCTTCACTTCATTTACTATGAAGTCTGATAAAGAGAAAGAGGGAGCCAGGATCTCTTACTAAAACGGTGTAAATGAGCTGTTCATGGTCTTTGGTCAGCTGGGTCATGCAGCTCCGAAACTCCTGCAGCCAGCTGATGATCTGCGCGTCCTGTCAGAGGAGAGGAGGCGCTGAGGAACACTGCTGCACATCCAGGGTCAGCTCACACACAGCTCACACTCTACCTTTATGTCCGGATCCGCCAGCTGATGCTTCAGGAGTTCATAGTCGCTCTTGTCTCCCTTCAAGCAACAAGACAAAAGGTCAGCAGTTCGTGTCGATGTTTTCCCACTAAAACACGAGAGTCCAGGGCGTGGCTCCGGACCGGGTTGACCAGAGATGTGGCTCGGCGTGATTTTATCAGCGCCGTCAAAACATGTTGCTACTGACCTTTCTCAGTTTGTCCAGCGTCTCCGCCACGCTGCCCCCGAACCGGACCGTCTTCACGGGCGGAGAGTTGAGGAAGTCCCGGCCCTCCACCTCCATGGAACTCCGCTGCCGTCGCTTCGTTTAATCTTTTAAGTTCTTTCGCGTCGCAGTTAAATAGTGAAATAATTGCTTAAAGCGTCACATTTTTTAAAATAAATAAATAAATCCGTAAACGTACAAGAGCGAGGCTGAACTCCACGTTCATAGCAAGCAGACAACCGCATGTTGGAGGAACTGTTTACATGGAGCAACGGTGTAACGCTTATACCCTTCCTACGAGCTACACGGTGAGAAGGTTGGTTCCCTTTGGATAACAGTACCACAACAAGAAAAGCTAGCTGTCTTCCCAGAGTAGCAGTTAGTTCAATAAAAAAAGGCGTACATATTTATGTTTCTGGTTCTTTCATTTTCAGAAAGGTTTTTGTCAGTGGTGGTTGGTTATGTTTAGTAGCAGAAGGTTCCTTCCCTCAGAATGCCTTCAATAAAAATAAAAAAACACTTAAGCCCTCAGTTTATTTGGATCCTTTTCTCATGCAGTATTTTATGATAGATAAATATTTTCAGACATAGCAGCTGATTTCAGGGTCCTCATTCTGCACATATTCCTGTTTTTACTCCCTGCCCCAGAAGATCTGCCCAGTCCCATCCTCCCCAGATTGTTTATTTTATAGCCAGCCTTTTGCTTACACCTCAACTCTTTATGTTTTGGTACATTTGTTTGAATACATAAACCCATGGATCTGTTATGATCATTGCTTTTGACAGTCATGATATTTAAGTCAAAACAGGCTTTTGTTTTTGGACACAACATAATAAGGTGAGCTAGAATAAGGAGTTCATGAGTTGTTTCATTGTCTCTTAAAATAACACTGTTAATAAAGGAAATAACTGAATGAAAATATGTAGATTGTGTAAAGAGGTTTAGCAGTTAGCAAACAAAATACATACAAAGGTTTTACTAGTGGTCATATTTATTTCATAGGTGACGGTGGGTAAGTTAGAAAACATCCACAGTAGATCTGCAAAGGTCACAACCTTTCTGTTAATGCCACATGTTTCTCTCCTCACTGTACCAACCTATCAGACCCAACAGTCAGTCACATTTTATTTGATGATTTCTATGTATAGTTTGCCAATCGACTGGAGGCACAAGAAAAGCCAACTAACGAGGCATCAGACATGCTGGGTGAGCCGTTATCCTGGGATTCTTCTCTCACATCCTGGAAGTGAAGTCCGCTCTCCTCACCAAGGACCGGCTCACCTCGGATACAGAGCGGCAACCTGCGCAGTCAGAGATCATTCATTCAGACATTCACAATGTCTACACACAGTCCAAGATACTGCACCAAGAAAACAGCAGAGAAACATAAAGTGCATAGCTAAAGAGGAAGGAAGAAATTCGTACAAGGAAAGTGTGCAGTACATTTCATTTCACTAAACAAGCTCAGATGAAACAAATAAATAAACTTTTTTAATTCAAAGCTAGTGGTAATGATCCCAAAAGGAGTGAAATGAGATTCTGCAGAATGTAGTGTGGTAGTTAGCATAAAACAAAACACACTTCTCAAATCCTTTGACTTCATTTCAATTCTACACCGCTTTGTGTCGGCCCATTATAGACAATCTAAATAAAATCCTAATAAAATCCCCCGAAGTCTAAATTTATGAAGAACTTTTGATGTGGAAAGCAGTATGGATACTTTTGCAAGGCAACAGACTCTCTGAGTGCAGAGGAAGTTGTGCAATCATTTGAATCAGGTGTCGTATGACAGCAACTCTTCTGAAATAAGCTGGGTGGTGGTTTCTGAGGACCGGAGTTGAGAAACCCAGTTACCTGACAGAGCCAAAGCCAGTCGAAGCTCCTCTTTTAGAAGTTCCAGTAGCTCAGTGACTCCTTCTTCTCCCTGGTCAGAGACAGGACGCAGCATTGGGAGGAGGTTTGTGC